TCCTTAAGCAAAGCTTTTGAGGACCAAATACTTTTCCATGAGTAGCTGCCAGCATATCCCAAGTGAGATTCCAGAAAGCTGCAATTTGTGTAATATTTAGCGCCCACAACCTTGCTTAGAAGAGAGTTAGGAAATTTAGTGAGTCTCCAAGCCTGTCTTCCAAGGAGTGCCTCGTTGAAAATTCGCAAGTCCCTGAAACCCAATCCACCTAGACATTTTGGAGTGCAGAGATCATCCCATTTCTTCCAGTGAACCTTACGTTCTTCATTAGAGCTACCCCATAAAAACTTTGCCATCATGGAATGAATGTCCTGGATAACACTAAAAGGCAATCTATAAACACCCATAAGATACGTGGGAATCGCTTGGATTACAGATTTTAAGAGGATTTCCTTCCCTGCTCGAGAAAGAAGCTTTTCTTTCCACCCATTTAATTTCTTCCAAATCTTGTCATTGAGAGCCATGAATACCGTCCTTTTAGATCTTCCAATAATGGTGGGAATACCAAGATATTTCCCGTGAGTATCTACTCGTCTCATTGCCAAAATTTCAATCAACTCCTCCTGCAATGACGTACTGACACCTTTTCTAAAAGAGATCTCCGATTTTTCATAGTTAATTTTCTGTCCGGAAGCTGCCTCATTATATGTTGAGAATTTCAACTATTTTTGAGCATTCCCTTCGATTGGCTCTTGCAAAAAGAAGACTGTCATCTGCAAAAAGTAAATGAGAAATTTCCGGTCCTTTTCTACTAGCTCTAGCTCCATGAATCGAGCCTTCAACCATAGCTTTCCGCAAAAGACCAGAAAAAGCATCAGCAACAAGAATAAATAGATACGGGGATAGGGGATCCCCCTGTCGAAGACCGCGGGAAGGAGTCACAGAACCACACACCCCACCATTGACAATAAATGAATACGAGACCGAAGTGACAAAGTCCATCACAATTCTGATCCAAGCCTCAGCAAAACCCATTTTTTGCAGAAGTTTCTCAAGAAAATTCCACTCCACTCTGTCATAGGCCATACTCATATCCAGCTTCAAAGAAATCAGACCCTTTCTACCTTTACATCTCGTTTTCATAGTATGAAAAAGTTCCAAAGCTACTAACGCATTGTCTGTAATAAGTCTACCCGGCACAAAGGCACTCTGATTTTCCGAAATTACACCCGGGAGAATATTTTTCAGGCGCAAGACAATTGCTTTAGAAGCTAATTTATACAGTACGTTGCAAAGAGCAATAGGTCTAAAATCGGTCATAGAGGTAGCGGAGCTAACCTTCGGGATAAGGGCAATATTAGTATTATTAACAGGGCTAATAGAATTATTTCCCTGTAAAATATTACTAATAAATCGAGACACATCATCACCAACAATATGCAAGAATTTTTGATAAAAAATAGCATGCGTACCGTCCGGTCATGGGGCTTTGCAAGGATGCATTTGATTGAGAGCAGCAAAAATTTCATCCTTTGAGAAAGGCCTAAGCAGCTCGTCATTCATCTCCGGAGTAATGATAGGGTTCACAGCATCAAGGACCAGCTCACACGCCTCTTCAGATGGGGTACCTGCAGTGAAGAGATGCTGATAAAATTTTTCTACAATTTTTTCCAAGTGACTTTCGTCCTCTTTCCAGTCCCCATTCTCATCAAAAAGACCCTTAATCTCGTTCTTCTTCTTGCGTTGAGTGGCTTTATGGTGGAAGTATTTAGTGTTTCGATCTCCTTCCTTAATATCCTTAGCTCTGGAGCGTAATTGCCAGTAGGATTCTTGTTTGTCAAGGAGATCTTCCAGCTTGCTTTCTAACTCCAAGCACCTCACAAGAGCTTCCTCCGTAACAACCTCCCCCCTCGCTGCTTTTAATTCCTCCTCTGTGTCACACACCTGCTTGTTTAAGTTCTGAAATTTCTTCCCACTCCACATCTTCAAGCTTTCTGCTACCTCCTTAATACGGTATGTGAGCAATCCCCTTCCCTCTCTCCAAGTACACCGCACCACTTCCTCACATTCCTTCTCCAACAACCAGCAAGTTTCAAAGTGAAAACCCCTCTTTTTCTTTTTTTTCTTCTTTTTTCTATGTTCTCCTAGCCTGAGAAAAATTGGGGAATGGTCGGATTTGATACGGGTTAAGTTCTCAATAGTTGAACAGCGGTGGGTAGCAAACCACGCAGCATTAGCCACAAATCTGTCCAGTCTTTCTCTGATGTGAGTTTGAACCGTCAGGCCCTTTTCCCATGTAAACCATTGCCCCTCATAGCCAAGGTCACGTAACCCACACTCCTGCAAGGCTTCTCTAAACTCAGGGATTGAACGACGAATATTATCAGCTCCACCTTCCTTCTCTTCATAGCTCAAAATTTCATTAAAATCACCGGCCATCAGAACCGGACCCTCGTACCCCTCGCACAATTGTTTGATCAAAGCCCACGTCCTGTGTTTATTTTCTGCTTCCGGCCAACCGTAAATGCCAACAAACCTCCACCCTTCACCCGAGCTAGGTTTAACATTCCCACAAATGTGATTTTGAGAAAAAGAAATCAAGTCAAAATCCGTACCATCCTTCCAAAACATACACAGACCACCCGACTTACCAATACTACTAACACCAAAAGCATAGGAAAAACCAAAGCGAAATTTATTATTCTCAATAATATTTTTATTAACTTTAGTTTCACACAAAAACAGAAAATCAGGGCATATAGAAGAACACCACTGTTGTAGTATTCTAACTGTTCGGGGGTTGCCAATCCCCCGACAGTTCCAGCACAGTGTACTCATTGTGAAGGGCGTGGTTGCTCTATGTCAACCACCGCCGGATAAACAACTTGATTAATCAACTCAGGGCTAACTCTGGGCCGTTTCCCAACCGAAGACTCATCTACAGTTGTTGGAGAGTTAGGGGCATTAGACTTGCGTTTGCCAGCAATTGGTTCATACTCCACCATCGATGCATCAACGTCTCTGTCAATTCTTCTCCAAGTTTTCGCAGGGGGGCATTGAGCATGTTGCACTGTAGAAATTTCAGTGACCTCAGAGTACGGGTTATGAGCAACTGGATCATGCAGCAAGGCTTCATTCTTTCTTGACTTGTGTTCTGGCAGAGAGAAGGTACGAGGACTGTCAAATCCCACCTTCTTGGCAGCAGCCTCCTGTTCTTTATGGCTCTCAGGAGTAGTAAAGGATAGTTTAAGTGAAACACCAGGTGGGCCTTTGCGGACGACCTTAGGATCAGAGTAACCTGGCAATCTTGGTTTGCTTGATTCTTTAATTTTTGACAACCAAGACTTCTCCCTTTCCCTGTCAAACATTGATCCTCGATCTTGCTTTTTGGGTGATGCCCCTAGCCAAGGACCATACTCGTATACCACTTCTTTTCTTGCCACATCCTTCTCGACAAATTGGCACTCAACATCAGTGTGATTCAACCGACTACAGTAATAGCAGAAATCTGCTAATCTCTCATATTGAATCCCACACCATCTTGGGGAAGAAGAACCATTAGCAATCCTTAGTCCCCTTCTCAACGGTTTGTTAATATCCACCGAAACTTTAATGCGGAGGAAAGCATCCCAGCCTAAAGGGTCAGAATCATGATACTCCAAAAATCCCCCCAGGTGTTCGCCAATTTCATATGCAAAATCCGCATTTCTCTTATTGAAGGGCACATCCCTAATTCGAATCCAGAAGGGGGATGATGAGAAACAAACTGATGAAGGTTGTTCATCGCCCATTATCTCTGTTAACAACATTAATTTCTTATCAAAGAACCAAGGACAACCCTCCATAACCTTAGTTTTGTCCTCTTCACTGAAAAACTGAAAAAAACGAACAGATTAGTTTCGACCACACGTATCGCTACATTATCTTTGACCCTCCATACATTCCGAAGCGTCCTTTTCATCGCCTCTACATTATACGGGCGAACTGTCAAGAGTTTTCCAGCTAGAGTCAAGGAGATTTTCGCCTTCATGTTCTCTTCATCAATAGCTTCAAAATTCTCCCCAATAATCTTGCTTTCGTCCTCTGTAAGTTTTAGGTTACCTAAGTCCTCTAAAACCTTCGAGTCCATACTAACACCAATCGAAACCAGAAATTGAGTCAAGAATGAGAAAAATTACCAGAAAACGAACAGGAATCGGGTGACAACGATGCAACAAACGGAAAAACCCTAACCAGGGACGAGAGCACGAAACCCTAAGCAAAGGACTACTAGGTTATCTGGTATACATTAATTATATGTAAGCATAAATAATTATATTACTCCCACTGTTCTCCTAAAATACCAGTGTTCGAACTCATTAATGAACTAGACGTTATTCAGTTACTTACGTGTGCCCAATTCGGAATACATGAGAAGAGTCATCTGCTATTTTGATATTTACCTTTCAAAATTTATTCGAGTCCTCTATTAATTGTGAGTGTCAATCCGAAAATTACGCATAATTAATAGAATTAGTGTTACGTTTTATAACTACTTCCTTGCGTGAAATATATTAGTTAAAGGAAAATCTGATTTATATCTTTGAATAAGATATATTAAGATTTCCACTTTTTTAAGATTAATTTGTATCTTTTACATTTGTTTTTTTTAAAAAAAAACAAGCCTAGCTCACCCTTATTCGCTCGTCTGATCCTTGGTCATTAGTTTTAACCTTATTGAGCATGTAAATGTTCTAACCTCTCGCTATCATTAATCAATGGCCTGAACTCATTCCAATGAACTCATTCGATTTCATCATATATAAAATCATGAAGAAAGCACAATAGTTGAGTTGACCAAGACAAGTTTGGTTAATAAAATCGTGATGGATCATGTACAATCAAGTAATGATTAAAAATGACCATTGTGTTATTAAATATAATGCCTTAATCGGTAACCTGGACATTATCATGCATTTCTGAATAAAAAAGTTAGCTTATTAGTTTACTAAGCAGTATTTTCAATGTATATTTCATAGACTTATTGAATGAAGACTTCTTTGTTAATTATATCGTACGTTCAGATCGATTAAATTTATGTAAAATATTGAATGTTCTCATATCATATCCTCGATTTTATATATGTATCAAATATCTTCCTCATCCTCATTCCAACTAAACCATCATCCTCTATTTGATACTCAACCAAAAATCGTCCAGTTAATTTCTTGCTCACGCGGTAGTAATACCAAGTTATCAACCACAATGGCAATTCAGATAAAAAAAGTACATATTTTTAGTCACTAACTTTGAAATTAAGTTTTATTACATATATATAGTACTCCCCTGTCCCTTTAAATTCTTCCTTTAAATTTGTTTTCTTTGATTTAACAAGTGTTTATTATGCGAGGATTGCAGTGGTCCTTTCAGCTTAAAGATGATCAAGTCATCACGAAAATTATGATAAATCATGGATACATTGTCGATGGAATTGGCTTTGAAATTATGGGTCTATGTGGGAAAACTATAGAGTGGTTTACAGGCCCCGGTGGATCACTTTCTGAGGTATTATAGTTTATAACTTTATAATAACAATTTAGAGTCGAGCTTAATCGGTATTAAGAGTGATAGGGTATAAAACGAATTCCTGACCTTCAATCATCAGCTTAAGCCTTTGATTGAATTGATCCTCTTATATGGTATCAGAGTCAGCATGAGGGGGCAGTATAAAACATTTTTTGAGCTTTAACCATCAGCTTGAGTTTTTGATTGAGTTGATCCTTTAACAAAGAATACAATTTAACGTTTTTCTTAAAAAAAAAAAAAAAAAAAAAAAAAAAGAAGAGCAATTTAACGCTTTTGTTGTAACATTTCTTTCATATCTCTGTTTGATAATTATAGTCATTCATAAAAGGGTCTATTATTTAATTTGATTTTACTATGATATAATAGAAATAAATATACATAATATAATGCAGATTCCGTTAAGTGTTGGTGAAAAGTTGACCCATATTAGCGGGACATACGGGATGTACTTAGAGGAGATATGCATCACTGCGATGAGGATACACACCAATTTATGCCCAGAGGGGTATGGACCATATGGTGAGGCCAAGGACGCCGATGACGTAACACCTTTTTCAACTCCTCTTCCACTGGATGGTTCTATTGTTGGGTTTCTCGGATCCAATGGAGAATATTTAAATTCTATTGGAATTTATAACGGGGTACGTAAAAAAATATACAATTTTCAATTATATGATCATATGTGATGATTTATAACGGGGTATCTAAATGAATTTTCATCGTATAACTAACTGATGATATGAAATTGGGTGGAGTAACCCTCTATGTTGGTATCATCTTTCTCCTTGATCTTTCCCACAATACCACATCAAGAATTTGTATTAGATAAAATTCTAATCTTCGTATGTATTGTAATCTAATACTCCCTCCGTTTCATATTGTTAGTCCCATACTCCCATTTATGTATAGGGCTATATATTTTAATCGCAAATATTTTTAATATTACACTACTAAAAATTATAAAAATTAGATATAAATAATATTAAAATTATAATGAGAAAAAATATTTCACTATATTGCATTAATTAAATATGAAAGAAGCCTTTATATAGGCAACAAACAAACCAACTCAAGATTATGTATAATCATTGAGATGAATAAGACTAAATCTCATATGATTATGTTTTCTCTTATATATATAGAAATTTAAAGATTCCTTTTATTTTTTAATAGACTAAGGCCCCGTTTACTTCACCTTATTTCTGTTGAATTGAAATTATTTTCACTGAGCTGAAATTAATTTTACTGAACTGAATTTAATTTTGCTTACTCTCTGTTATATTTCTTCTTTAAAGTTACTGATTTTGACTGAACTGAAACTATTTTTACCGAACTAAAATTATTTTTACAGAACTAAAATTATTTGCTGATCCGAAATTATTTTTACTGAATATTTTTTTTTTAAGGTGAAGTGAACAGGGCCTAAGAAATAGAAACAGAAAGAGTATACGAATAAAACTAAATCTCATATGATTATGTTTGCTCTTACATATAGAGAGAAAAGATTTCCTCTATTTTTTAATAGTCAAAATATTCTAAATGAGACTTATAAATAGAAATGAAAGAAGTATATATTTACATAATTTATCTTATTTTTAATTCCAGCGCAAAATGATCAAAGAATATGGGCCATATGGTAACAAAGAAAGTTCAACAAACTGGTACATTGAGCTTAATGATGGTCAGCGATTTTCCAAAGTATTTATCAAACATGGATTCATTGTCGATGGAGTTGGGTTTGAAGTATCAAGCCTTACCGGAAAAACCTACACCCAAATGTTTAGTGGGCCTGGCGGGGAAACTACAGAGGTAAAAATTTTATTGTTACAAGAAATTGGCAATTATATTACTCGTGTGTACTATATTTTGACCATACAAATATACTATATATCCATAAATAATATTAAAGTAGTAAGGAAAAATTAACAAGTTTAATCCCAAGTATTATGTTGCTTCTCATTTTAATCCCAACTACCGTTTAACCTAGAATAATATAGGTGAGCCTTCTCAAAATAATTTCACTCATATTTTAACCTATTGTTCAAGTAAAAAGAGTGATGTGTAAAGCTACTATTAGTTAGTGCTTTTTTTTAATAATAATACTCATAAATAAAAATTAAACAAACATCCCTTCATTTTTCTTCTCTAATCACTGCCTACATCGGCAGTTTGGCATATTATTAAAATTTGTCACTTGTTTTTCTTGGACGCAAATTTGAAAATTTTTAGAAACAGAAAAATGAGGTATTGTTTCATATTTTTCTTGGAAGCCAACAAACACCCTCTTGACAACAAGTCAACATTTTCATTCCCTGCCATCAAAACCACTTTCTTAGCCACCAAAAACCACTGAAACCACCATTCTAGCTAAGCTCAGCCACCAAATCCACCACTCTAGCCAAACCCAGCCACCAAAACAACCAGCTAGCCAAGCCCTGCCACCGGAAAGTCGGATGACCATCATTTCACTATGCAAAAACTCATTTACAACTATGAATATTCAGCCCGCACTTAAGTTCCTCTAGGAACTCAAGTATCCCAACTACGGTCCCTCAACCGTAACTTATCTCTCTCAGTGATTCGACTCTGAATCACTTATACTTTGTGATAGACTCACTCAAGCCTCACAAGTACAACTCTCACAAACCCCAATCCCAATTACAAAAGTAATTACAAGACTTTTCCTAATGCACTAGAGAAGATTAAGGCAGGAAGGAACTCATCACTCTTTTATATTAAAACGTGAAAGCTCTGAAACTCTATGAACTGAATGTTTTCGTTGTTGCTCCTTTCCAAAATCAGAGTACGTTGCAAGCCTTTTATAGTGAGATGGAAAGTCTCAACCTTGTTCCTCACTCTTCCCATATTCCACGTTCACTTCAACTAGGAAGTTGTTGAACGTTGATTAGAGAGTTGGAAGTAAGGTTTCCCTGACTTTTCTCTCAAGGCTTTCAACGTGATTCCTTAAAATCAGGCAACCAATTTTACTTGGTCAAAAATCAGTTAAAGATATTTATTAAAAAGATAATTATTATTAAAATAAAAAAAGATAAAACTTTTAAATAATTATTTTTAAAAATAATAAACTTATCTTTTAAATTAAAGAATTATTTATCTTTTATTTATTTGCAAAACATATCTTTTCAAAACTGATTTTATTCTATCCTTATTTCAAGGACTTTAAAACTGATTTGAAAACTTACGTTGAAATCATTTTCTGATTAAAACATTAAGTTCCTTTTGCAACACTAAGTTCATTATAATATAAGTTCCTTCCCACACTTAAATTCTCTTGTGCTTACATAGAATCCTAAGTACTGGAGTTTGCTTGTTTTTCTTGAAAGCTTGCATATCAATGTCAAGACTTCCAATCCCTTTGGTCCTACTCCGGAACATATTGTTTGTACCTGAATCTTTTGTTCTACCAAGACTTAACACACATCATTAGTCAAAGTTTATTTTGTTATGTCAATCATCAAAATACTAAGGGAGTCAACTCAACAATTAACCTGTAAGAGAGGTCAGGTAATAGGTAAAAGGGAGTATTTTGAGAAGAATCACATAATAGTTGGGATTATTTTAAGTTAAATTGTAGTTGGGATGATTAAAATGAGAAGGATGTCAATAGTTGGGATTATTTTTGTTAATTTTTCCAAGTAATAATCGCTGACATCATTCTATTTTAAAATTAGACACATGTCATATTGTCATTAAAAATTTTCCCTCCAAAACTATAACTGATGTCATTGTTTTGTGATTTTTATTTTATTTTATTAATATTCTGGTCAATTACGTTACTATTAGTATCAAACTAGGTTAAAATCCCGTGCAATGCACGGTTGTTAAATATTTTTGACAATAATATTACAAAATACTAAATAAAGTATTTAAAAGATATTCAGAAATATTTCATTTGGGTATATATGGAATATGATTGTCAAAGTGGAAAGAAGATATCACGAGGTATAACTAGTTTACTTAAAGATTTTACACAAAAAAAAAAAAAAAAAAAAAAAACGAGAGTGAGAAACGAAAAAGGCGGTAAAATTTTTCACAAGGTAATGTCAAGTGTCATGGAAGGATTTGCTTTTAGTATAAGTTAATAGATGTTGAAAAAAGGTATATTCTCTTTAACAAAATAATTTAATTTTTGTTCCTTGGGTACCCTTTTCATCAATCAATTTTTCTATGAGCTCTTTTTTTTTTTTTTTTTTTTGAATATTAGATGTTTTATTTATTTTGGGAATATTTTTATATTTAGTTTTAGTAAGAAAAAATAAATAAATGTAGAAAATTTTATTTGATTAATTCGTGCATCACACGAAATTAATCTAATTAGTATTATATTCCTAACCGGTAAACATACAGATTGAATTGGATGAAAACGAGTTTATAACACAAATAAGCGGGAAGTATGGAAAGTACCTTGAGAAGGATATCAAAATTGGTTCGATAACGATCCATACCAATTTAGGTCGTTCATATGGACCATATGGACGTGATGAGCAGGTCACAGAAGCTAAGCCTTTCGCAACTCCAGTGCCATTAGATGGCACTATTGCTGGTTTTAATGGATCCTATGGAATTTACCTTAACTCAATTGGAATTTCTGACAAGGTAATAACTTACCATCCAACATTATTCAAGCTATAATTATTGTAAAATTAATTAGTATAACTTTCTAATTAAGATCATTTTTAAACAATATTTTTCAGTACAAGAAGGTTGACAAGTACGGGCCATATGGACGTGCTTAATGCTATTGAAGCTTATGGTCGGAATGTGTGTTTCGCAATTGCTTACGTGTGCTCGATGCGGACTACATGAAGAGCGTCGTCATCTTTAATTTTTATTTTTCTTTTTCCTAATGTTTGTGTTTCTTTTTTCATTTTTCATTTTTCTTTTTCCTAATGTTTGTGTGTGTGTTTTTTTTCGAATAAACTCTTTTCTTTCTTTTTGAATTTGAGCTCAGAGTTTGTTGTGTTGTCACTTATATTTCGTTTTTGTTGACTCTGAATATCAATGGACTTTTCTTTTACTCTAAATTGAAGTATTGAACTATTGTCCTCTATTATTTCTTTTTCTTATTGTTATACATAAGAGAGTAAATTTATCATGTGAGGTTGTATGACGATATATCATAGATATAGATGCGTGAATAATTCTTATATGACAAAATCTAATACTTCATCTTAGACACCTCTACATGTACTGCACTCGATCTAAGTGGCAAGTCAGATCAATGTATTTGTACACTTGATCACATAGTGTATTATTTTGTCTATGTTTGACTTTTGTTTGATCAATATAATATATTTACTTTCTACTTTACAATTTTTGTTTATTCCACTCTACACAACTAAATTAGTATGGTACTAGAATTGATTAGGAACGGGTGGGTTCGAAATCAATATTGAACATTTGGACCCCTTGTTTTCAATTTCAGGCAATAAAATTAGCAACCGATTACAACCGATTTCGGTTTCAATTCCTATTATTTTTTTTGAAACAAATCCCTGAAATCGGAACTATTTGGGTACCTAGTTACTCGACAAAAAATTTACTTTGCTTCCTCTGTTTATTTTTACTTGCAACACCTTTCATTTTCATGCTTAACAATGCATTATTTTATCCATATATATCTTAATTACAAATATGTAAAATTTATAAGTGAAACTTTAATTATAATATGAAAGTATAAATCAAGACAAATCTAACAAGATTTCATATTGCTTAACTATGTATTATTAACCCGGTCAAAGTATAGTATTAAGTATTTTAAAATAATACCACGTAGTATGTTAAATGTATCTAATCAATAAAACCAATAATAAAAAAAAAAAAAAAAATCTAGCCTAAAGAAAAAAAAATAAAAAATAAAATTACTTCGTACTATATAAAAATTTCACAAATTCCTATATATGGCCAGCCATAACATTAGTTGATTAAATGAGGTTACTTTTTTTGTAAGTATTTGATAATTGGAGTTATTATTATTATTATGAATAAAGTAAGGCTACCCTTACCAATAAATGAGGTTACTTTTTTTGTAAGTATTTGATAATTGGAGTTATTATTATTATGGATAAAGTAAGGCTACCCTTACCAGTAAATGATTTGTTTCATTTTTTTAAGATCGTAATACTTTAATTTTTACAAGTTTTGTGTGTGTACACATGATATGACTGCATTTAATTAGAATTATTCTTCATAATAAGTGAACATACATCTTTTTGACATCTACTATTAGCCATTGAATTTTTTTATTTTTTTATTTTTTGACGGGAGCCGTTGAATAATTTTACATACTTTGCAAAATATTAGTTATAATTAATAAAATATCAAACTTTTTTTTTATTTGCTTCGTTTAATGACCTTAAACATTCAACTAGATCATCGCGCATCTTGCATTGCCTTCTCATTTTTTTTTATTTTTTATTTTTTTATTTATTAATCAATATCAGTAAGATATTACTTAGTCGCATGCTTATATAATTTATTTTGCATATGTCTTGTAACGTGTATGTTAACTAAGAAGCTAAAAATGGAATATGAATACTCAAATCACTCCATATGTATACACATCAAACGACACGATTTCATTCACACCCTTATTTAATTTCTACAAAAGGGATTGATCTAGAGTCAAGCCTTAGAAAGTTAGATTAAGTGCCGAGCTATATATACTCGGAAAAACTTTATTGTAATATTATACAGTAAAAGGGTGGCATAACATTGCTAGTCCACGAGTGATCGTAGGAGCTAGCAATAGAACACACAAATTCATAACATAACAAGCACACAATATATCGTCGTAGTCAATCGATATGTTATAGGCAAGGTCATGCGTAGAGCAACTTCAGGCCTTGTAGTTGATAACTTTCTGAAGGTTTTTGAGAGCATCAATTGCAATTTGAAGGTAGTAGTCAAGAGATGGTGCGACGGTTGCAAGAGGATCGGCCGCAATTTCTGTCCTCTCGTCTTCCACAACCGTGGGAACAGGCTTGCTAGGATCCTTCTCGAATTCCTTTGCTTGCTCGAAACATGTTTCCATGCGCGGAGTGGCATAGCTTCGTATCTTTTCGACGTCGCCTCTAGAGGCAAAACGCTGGCGGTCATGGGAAATCTCAGAAGAGTAGGTAAAACAACGGCCTTTGTTTTCGTAGGTTTCATTAGTTTGCATAAACTTCACCATCTCATCCACCTCATATTTCAGGGTCTCAATAACCATTTTGGACTCTTCATTAAGAGCTTCGACGACAACATGGCCGAGGGAATTTTGGCCTTCTACAACCTTATCTAGAGCTGCATCCATATTTTTTGCTTCGGCCAGGGTTCTTGCCTCTTTCATCAATTCCACAATTTCCACCCGTTTTATCTCAGCTTTAGTTGCGTCTGTTTGTTTCATTTTTGGTGCAATACATCGTTTAACTCGGAACTTAACTGGATTGGTTTGTGTCGAATTTCCCGATTCAGCCCTGCAATATTGATATTCATTTATCATTATATACGTAGAATTTTCATTCATTTCATATTTAGTCTTAGACCAGGACTTGAGTACCACTGCACTTCTTAATACTTTAACCAACTGAGCTAGTTAATCATTTATTTTTCCTTATGGGAATATGTTTATATTAAACTAATTTGGTACAATTTATAAGTAAGGTGTTGCAAATAATATAGCATGGAGAGTATGTAAAGTTAAGCAGTATCTGAAATAACTCTAACTTAGCTCTTTTATTTCGAGCATCTTTAATTTAGCTTTCAACCCTTTTAACCAAAAAAAAAAAAAAAAAAAGAAACAAAATTTAACACCACAAACCTGTAGGTGCAAGAGAGAAGGGAATCGAGTTCGACTTGAGCCTTGTTTGGATCATTACGTATTTCAGGGAGAGAAAGGAAGACCAAAACCATGCGTATCTCTTTTTGGTAGAGATCACCAAATGAAACAGTTACGACGCCAGTTTCTTTATCGACAATTTGTTCATAGTCTCCTGCAGAAACCTTTTCGATGATGGTTTTAACCTTCTCTCTTCTGCTCACCGTCCCTAGCAGTGGTTTGATAACAAGATTCACGTCTTTTACAAGTACGCTAAGAAGCCCAGCCAAACACGGGGCGAACAACTTACTCAGATCTCCAAGTTTAGCTACAGAGAATGTTCCTCCTTTGCTTTTGCTAGCAATGTGTCCAAGGACCTATATACATCGAGTTTACAAGAATTAGATGAAAGAATCATAAAATCAAAAAATAAAGAAATTATGTAGTCTGTCGCATTTTACTACATGAAGGCTTTGTTCGGAAGTCTAGTTCTTATATCTTAATATAAGGTGCTCAAATATTAAGATATCTTAGATTTGTATATTTGTTTTACGAGCACTTTAAAATTTAAATTAAATCGAACGATTTGAAAATAGAGATGTTATTAAGTATCAGTTATTTCTACCAAGCAACTCATTCAAATCATTTACCACGCAATCAGTTTCAACATCATTTCAGTTTTTGCGACTAATAATTCAATTAAAGTTAACGTACTAATCAACATCGTGTTGTTTTAAGTTTTTGATGCAAAACATTTATATTGTGTTAGTAGGTGTTACCTAAAACAAATTTATAACATACCTTAGTGTCAATTTCTTTCTCATCCCCAAAACCGAAAGTGTAGATGGGATAACGATCAACCAAAATCTTGGTTGCATCATCCACATTTTGCTCACCATCAGACATAAGCATGATAGCGCCGGCTCGGCCAGTAGTATACTTCCGATCATCAAGTACCTTTAAGGCCATTTGAAGGCCAGCACTTATATTAGTATAGTAATCGACTTGTAAATTTTGGACCATGTAATCGACCTTCTCTTTAGCAACGGGACTCATGACCCGCAATCCACACAGTTTGATTGAATCTTTTGCGAATGTGCAGACCGACAAACGATCAGATGGGCTTAGCTTGCTGATCACAAACTGCATCGCGCGCTTCATCTCCTTCAACTTGTCTCCTTTCATGCTGTAGCTCACATCTAACACCATAACTATATCAGCTGCTAGTCTGGCATTAGCGGATCCTCTTCCTGTTAACTCCAACAACAGTTCATACTTCGCATTTTCCTTTGGCAACTCCGGCTCATTCTCGAATTTCACCGGTACTCTTCCCGCTTCTGGTGCTGAAGCTATTGCTTTTTCTCCGAATATAATGTGAATTTAAATATAGCAAGATTACGATAATTTATATTTTGAAATTGGATATATAATAAAATTTTATTGACCAATTAAAGTAGGTAGTCATTTCTAGAATAATAATTGTGTTAGGTATATTGGAAATTATACTAATAAGATATATTTTTCATATAGATTTTATGATAATATAATTTAGTGTTGGTCCGATTGCGGGAGGGTGTTAGGAGAATAAGAAGATATACTATTGTGATGTATTTTTCATATAGACCACATTTATCTCACAAATATTTTACAAATTGATACATTTTCACTATTTTTATGTTTCATATAAAATGGACTATATATACACTTTAGTAATATGTAAAACACAAATGTTATTGGATCATGTAAAACGTGTTCAAATAAAACACATATGTGTGGTGTTTTTTTTTTTTTTTTTTATAATTATTTTTTACTTCTTTGCAGGTGGGGCTGGCTACATCTGGTGGGGATGAGGGTGAAGGTGGTGGCTGGGTTGGTGGTTTTTAGTTTCTTTTTATTTATTTTTTTCAAAGTTAACCATAGTTAGTTTTTTTTTTTTTTAAATAAATAACACTCATTAATGTCATATGTGAGATAAATTTCTTAATTAGGGTCATTTTGTATAATAATAAAGGGAGGTGACCATTGGTGCGTAGTAGAAGTTGCGGGTCACCGTTGAGAATTTCCCTTATAATATTCATCTTAATGATTGGCCATGTGTATTTCTTGTGATGTTCTTTCTATGATTTAATAATTTTATAAATTAGAAAACATAATGCACTTTTTATTTGTCAGTAATGTATAATTAATATTGAAACTAATTTTTCATACATGCCCATTACAAAATCATATAATTATCTTTATTAGATATTCTAATTAATAAGCTATTTTTAAAGTAAATGTATGTTCTTTAATTGTAATTTTTAATGTACTTTATTGTTAGAGATAATGTTCATTGCTTATTATGAAATATTCTTTGAATTTTGTCTTTGGATCATGATGTGTATAGATAAATAATGTACATTACATAATATTATCAATTTTTTTTTAATATTACGAATGTTCTTTAAACCTGAAATTCAATCACGGTCCCAAATAATATCGTCATCAACCTTTATGATCCCGGATTAAAAAAAAAAGAATAAAAAAACATACATAGTTAGTAAACGATAATTAATATTTAAAGAAAAATAAATAGAATTTGTGCGTCAGTCATTACCTCAAAGTTCATACTTTGTATTATTGAAACCCAAATAACATGTTTAACCAACATATGTTACCAAACGTAAGTTATAATGTAAAGAACATATAGTTCATATCCAAAGAACACACTTATCAAACTAAAAGAACATATTTTGTTCGCGTTCTTTGTACATGGATGTAATGTTCTTTTTTAGCTCGTCTTCTTCATACTCAATTAACGTTCTTTGTCAAATACAAGTATGTTCTTTCCGCCTTTTTATATTTAATCGGGCCGAGTGTACTATCCTATTTTCAGTGATTTTCCTTCTTGTTTGTGCACAAGATTTTTTTCCACACTAAAATTCTCTGTGTACTGTACGGAGTAGTATACTAACTTGAGCTTCTTTAGCTTTCAAGTGTTTATTCTAAAAAAGTTAGTTAAGTAGCCATACTACAATTCACCCCCTTTTAGTATTCATCAGAGTAACAAGTTTAGACCATTATTTATGAGCTCAATCAAGTAGCTAACGATGGGATTGGAGGAGCAAATTGGGTACGGTGTTTATTCATTTTTTTCTTAGGATAGAACTTATAATTAAATGGGTTATAACTAAGATAAACATCCACTTTTAAATAAAAACTAGTGTGTGTTCCGGGCGATTTTCCGGACTGCTAGTTTAAACTTGGTTCTTTAATTTTTAAAAATTATATGTTCAAATTCTAATAGTGTCATCATGTTCATATTTTAAATGGTCATTTTTCAGAAACTATAGTTTAAAACTTTATTTATATAATTGTTAACGAAAAATAGATCATATTAATTCATTAACTAATATTTTTTAAAAATGGCTAAAAAATAAGAACGAATTTGAAAACTAAAATTTTGAAAATGAATTTTTAAATCTTGAATTTTGAATTTTGAATCTTGAAAATTGAAAATTGAAAAAGAAATCTTGCATTATTTTTGGTTGAAAATAGTATTAGAGAGTGAAAACTAAAATTATTATGAGAAGTTGAATTTTTGGAGAGAAAGAGAGAAAACTTTTTTTGGAGAAATGAAATTTTGGTTAAGATTTTTTTCAGTTAATGTGTAATATTTAAGGAAATTTTAATAAAGTTTTTTTACGTTCTTTTTGTAAAGACTTTATGTTTTTCGTAATGGTATGTTCATTATCAAATACAAGTATGTTTTTTGTCAAACACAATGCATGTATGATCTTTATCTAATACAGGTTTGTTCTTTTCGCCTTGTTTTTTTGATTTAATCGGGTGCACATATCAAGCGTTAGAAAACCACCACCCACTACAATAGGGCAACAACCTACTACAAGTTATAGCCTCTAGTTCGAAGTTCCTCTACGAACCAAGAACATCCAACAGTAGTACCTCAGGCTCAACTTACTAGTTTACCACAGTTTACCACTGTTGGCTATACTAAACCGTTGGAGGTTTCAAGGATACCGACGGTTGGCCGTCTGTAAATTATGCTTCCGACAGTTTTTGGCAATCGGTCCAGGCCATGTGCATTAATCTAACAATTTTTTTTTAATTATCAACATTATACAACTTATAATCTAATTCTAGAAACAAAGAAACAACCTATTCGCTCCTCCAATCCCATCACTTTGTCATTAACTTTGAGATTGTGCTCGTAAATTATCTAAACTCTAGGTATCATTTATTGATGGCCTGAATTCATTCCATTGAATTCTCCTTTTCATCATCGATCATGAGAAAGAAACAATAGTTGAGTTGACTAGGACAATATGCAAGTTGGTTAATAAAAAGATTATAAATCATGATATAGAGCATGTACATTCATGATATAATGTCTATGGTCTTGATTAAACTTAATGTCAATAATGGTTGAGATTGTATTCAGGGAGGCATATTCAACATGTTAGCGCTGACATTATCAATCATGCAATATTAAATAATAAATGAAACTTAACACGAAGCCGATGTATTTTCAACTTATTACTACAAACCCGCCGTATTTTCAGCGTATTTTTCAAAGACTAATTGAATGAAGAATTCTTTGTTAAATACGAGTATATGGTATACATTAATTTTTTTTATTTTTTTTTTTGAGGAAACCGGGAGGAAGGCCTTAGATTGATAGATTGTCCATAAGTACATACGGGGAAACCTCACAAGGGCTATGGTGCTCCCAAATTTGTTCACAACCAAAAGGCACAATACGGGCTAAGTGATGAGCTACACTATTGCCCTCCCTTTTAATATGACTCCAAGAAGTAGAATTAAAGGAATTACAAAAATTAAAACACATCTTCAAGTAAGCCATCAAGATCGGTGAGAAAAATGGAGCCTTTGTTTAACCTTCCAACCAAGACTTGGCTATCAGATTCAATCACAATATCTTTGAACTCATAGCGCTTCGCCAGCCTAACAGCCATCAAGACAGCCTTGCATTCAGCTATAATTGGAGGCCAAAAAGCTCTGGACCTTCTGCACGCAGCCAACAGGACCTCACCACTGCTGTTTCGAGCAACCACTCCTAGCCCAACCCAGCCTTCCGTGCACAGAGACGCGTCGCAATTAAGTTTGATAACACCATCAGGAGGCGCTTGCCAAGTCTTTGGGCTGCTCCGTTGCTTTACTCTGGCTACCCCATAAATCCTTTCCGAGGCTGAAATGCATTCATTTGCAAGTCTCTGAACTCTGTCAACAAGAACAGGAAGGAAAGATTCGGACCCCTGGAAGATCTTCTCATTGCGTCTTCTCCAAAGGTTCCACATAAGGATGGCCCCCTTACATTGCTTGCGTGAGCTTTGCTTATTCCATCCCTCAAACAATTCGAGGAAGCTCAAATCACTCGGCCAGGCTGCAAGTTCATGACATTCACATTCCACCCAGAGAGCTTTGGCAGCAGGGCATTCGAAGAGGCATGTCTGATCGTTTCAGGGCTATCTGGACACTAAGGGCAAGACTCGACCTCCGCCATATGACGATACTTCAAATATGCTCGAACAGGGAGAGTACCTGTGCAGATTCTCCAGAGGAAATGGCGTACTTTAGGTGTGACATCAAGCTTCCAAATGTCAACCCAAGTTCTGTGAAAATCGTCCAAGTTACACGATTTTCCTAACATATATGCCGTTTTAACCGAGTATGTACCATCCATGGAGAATGCCCAGCAGATTGAATCTTGCGGAGAGCTTGAACACAAGGGGATAGCTAAGATGCTGCGAGCATCTATTGCATTAAAATTTTCAGAAATAATATTCTCCTTCCATTCTCTACTCTCGTGATCGATCAAATCTGCAACCATCTCAATCGAGCCTATTTTTGGGGAAGAAATGAATCTACTGGAGCCACTGTCAATCCACGGGTCAGACCAAATATTGATTGTAGAGCCATCACCAACTCGCCAGAGAAGACCCTCCTTAAGCAAAGCTTTTGAGGACCAAATACTTTTCCATGAGTAGCTGCCAGCATATCCCAAGTGAGATTCCAGAAAGCTGCAATTTGTGTAATATTTAGCGCCCACAACCTTGCTTAGAAGAGAGTTAGGAAATTTAGTGAGTCTCCAAGCCTGTCTTCCAAGGAGTGCCTCGTTGAAAATTCGCAAGTCCCTGAAACCCAATCCACCTAGACATTTTGGAGTGCAGAGATCATCCCATTTCTTCCAGTGAACCTTACGTTCTTCATTAGAGCTACCCTATAAAAACTTTGCCATCATGGAATGAATGTCCTGGATAACACTAAAAGGCAATCTATAAACACCCATAAGATACGTGGGAATCGCTTGGATTACAGATTTTAAGAGGATTTCCTTCCCTGCTCGAGAAAGAAGCTTTTCTTTCCACCCATTTAATTTCTTCCAAATCTTGTCCTTGAGAGCCATGAATACCGTCCTTTTAGATCTTCCAATAATGGTGGGAATACCAAGATATTTCCCGTGAGTATCTACTCGTCTCATTGCCAAAATTTCAATCAACTCCTCCTGCAATGACGTACTGACACCTTTTCTAAAAGAGATCTCCGATTTTTCATAGTTAATTTTCTGTCCGGAAGCTGCCTCATTATATGTTGAGAATTTCAACTATTTTTGAGCATTCCCTTCGATTGGCTCTTGCAAAAAGAAGACTGTCATCTGCAAAAAGTAAATGAGAAATTTCCGGTCCTTTTCTACTAGCTCTAGCTCCATGAATCGAGCCATCAACCATAGCTTTCCGCAAAAGACCAGAAAAAGCATCAGCAACAAGAATAAATAGATACGGGGATAGGGGATCCCCCTGTCGAAGACCGCGGGAAGGAGTCACAGAACCACACACCCCACCATTGACAATAAATGAATACGAGACCGAAGTGACAAAGTCCATCACAATTCTGATCCAAGCCTCAGCAAAACCCATTTTTTGCAGAAGTTTCTCAAGAAAATTCCACTCCACTCTGTCATAGGCCTTACTCATATCCAGCTTCAAAGAAATCAGACCCTTTCTACCTTTACATCTCGTTTTCATAGTATGAAAAAGTTCCAAAGCTACTAACGCATTGTCTGTAATAAGTCTACCCGGCACAAAGGCACTCTGATTTTCCGAAATTACACCCGGGAGAATATTTTTCAGGCGCAAGACAATTGCTTTAGAAGCTAATTTATACAGTACGTTGCAAAGAGCAATAGGTCTAAAATCGGTCATAGAGGTAGCGGAGCTAACCTTCGGGATAAGGGCAATATTAGTATTATTAACAGGGCTAATAGAATTATTTCCCTGTAAAATATTACTAATAAATCGAGACACATCAACACCAACAATATGCAAGAATTTTTGATAAAAAAATAGCATGCGTACCGTCCGGTCATGGGGCTTTGCAAGGATGCATTTGATTGAGAGCAGCAAAAATTTCATCCTTTGAGAAAGGCCTAAGCAGCTTGTCATTCATCTCCGGAGTAATGATAGGGTTCACAGCATCAAGGACCAGCTCACACGCCTCTTCAGATGGGGTACCTGCAGTGAAGAGATGCTGATAAAATTTTCTACAATTTTTTCCAAGTGACTTTCGTCCTCTTTCCAGTCCCCATTCTCATCAAAAAGACCCTTAATCTCGTTCTTCTTCTTGCGTTGAGTGGCTTTATGGTGGAAGTATTTAGTGTTTCGATCTCCTTCCTTAATATCCTTAGCTCTGGAGCGTAATTGCCAGTAGGATTCTTGTTTGTCAAGGAGATCTTCCAGCTTGCTTTCTAACTCCAAGCACCTCACAAGAGCTTCCTCCGTAACAACCTCCCCCCTCGCTGCTTTTAATTCCTCCTCTGTGTCACACACCTGCTTGTTTAAGTTCTGAAATTTCTTCCCACTCCACATCTTCAAGCTTTCTGCTACCTCCTTAATACGGTATGTGAGCAATCCCCTTCCCTCTCTCCAAGTACACCGCACCACTTCCTCACATTCCTTCTCCAACAGCCAGCAAGTTTCAAAGTGAAAACCCCTCTTTTTCTTTTTTTCTTCTTTTTTCTATGTTCTCCTAGCCTGAGAAAAATTGGGGAATGGTCGGATTTGATACGGGTTAAGTTCTCAATAGTTGAACAGCGGTGGGTAGCAAACCACGCAGCATTAGCCACAAATCTGTCCAGTCTTTCTCTGATGTGAGTTTGAACCGTCAGGCCCTTTTCCCATGTAAACCATTGCCCCTCATAGCCAAGGTCACGTAACCCACACTCCTGCAAGGCTTCTCTAAACTCAGGGATTGAACGACGAATATTATCAGCTCCACCTTCCTTCTCTTCATAGCTCAAAATTTCATTAAAATCACCGGCCATCAGAACCGGACCCTCGTACCCCTCGCACAATTGTTTGATCAAAGCCCACGTCCTGTGTTTATTTTCTGCTTCCGGCCAACCGTAAATGCCAACAAACCTCCACCCTTCACCCGAGCTAGGTTTAACATTCCCACAAATGTGATTTTGAGAAAAAGAAATCAAGTCAAAATCCGTACCATCCTTCCAAAACATACACAGACCACCCGACTTACCAATACTACTAACACCAAAAGCATAGGAAAAACCAAAGCGAAATTTATTATTCTCAATAATATTTTTATTAACTTTAGTTTCACACAAAAACAGAAAATCAGGGCATATAGAAGAACACCACTGTTGTAGTATTCTAACTGTTCGGGGGTTGCCAATCCCCCGACAGTTCCAGCACAGTGTACTCATTGTGAAGGGCGTGGTTGCTCTATGTCAACCACCGCCGGATAAACAACTTGATTAATCAACTCAGGGCTAACTCTGGGCCGTTTCCCAACCGAAGACTCATCTACAGTTGTTGGAGAGTTAGGGGCATTAGACTTGCGTTTGCCAGCAATTGGTTCATACTCCACCATCGATGCATCAACGTCTCTGTCAATTCTTCTCCAAGTTTTCGCAGGGGGGCATTGAGCATGTTGCACTGTAGAAATTTCAGTGACCTCAGAGTACGGGTTATGAGCAACTGGATCATGCAGCAAGGCTTCATTCTTTCTTGACTTGTGTTCTGGCAGAGAGAAGGTACGAGGACTGTCAAATCCCACCTTCTTGGCAGCAGCCTCCTGTTCTTTATGGCTCTCAGGAGTAGTAAAGGATAGTTTAAGTGAAACACCAGGTGGGCCTTTGCGGACGACCTTAGGATCAGAGTAACCTGGCAATCTTGGTTTGCTTGATTCTTTAATTTTTGACAACCAAGACTTCTCCCTTTCCCTGTCAAACATTGATCCTCGATCTTGCTTTTTGGGTGATGCCCCTAGCCAAGGACCATACTCGTATACCACTTCTTTTCTTGCCACATCCTTCTCGACAAATTGGCACTCAACATCAGTGTGATTCAACCGACTACAGTAATAGCAGAAATCTGCTAATCTCTCATATTGAATCCCACACCATCTTGGGGAAGAAGAACCATTAGCAATCCTTAGTCCCCTTCTCAACGGTTTGTTAATATCCACCGAAACTTTAATGCGGAGGAAAGCATCCCAGCCTAAAGGGTCAGAATCATGATACTCCAAAAATCCCCCCAGGTGTTCGCCAATTTCATATGCAAAATCCGCATTTCTCTTATTGAAGGGCACATCCCTAATTCGAATCCAGAAGGGGATGATGAGAAACAAACTGATGAAGGTTGTTCATCGCCCATTATCTCTGTTAACAACATTAATTTCTTATCAAAGAACCAAGGACAACCCTCCATAACCTTAGTTTTGTCCTCTTCACTGAAAAACTGAAAAAACGAACAGATTAGTTTCGACCACACGTATCGCTACATTATCTTTGACCCTCCATACATTCCGAAGCGTCCTTTTCATCGCCTCTACATTATACGGGCGAACTGTCAAGAGTTTTCCAGCTAGAGTCAAGGAGATTTTCGCCTTCATGTTCTCGTCATCAATAGCTTCAAAATTCTCCCCAATAATCTTGCTTTCGTCCTCTGTAAGTTTTAGGTTACCTAAGTCCTCTAAAACCTTCGAGTCCATACTAACACCAATCGAAACCAGAAATTGAGTCAAGAATGAGAAAAATTACCAGAAAACGAACAGGAATCGGGTGACAACGATGCAACAAACGGAAAAACCCTAACCAGGGACGAGAGCACGAAACCCTAAGCAAAGGACTACTAGGTTATCTGGTATACATTAATTATATGTAAGCATAAATAATTATATTACTCCCACTGTTCTCCTAAAATACCAGTGTTCGAACTCATTAATGAACTAGACGTTTTTCAGTTACTTACGTGTGCCCAATTCGGAATACATGAGAAGAGTCATCTGCTATTTTGATATTTACCTTTCAAAATTTATTCGAGTCCTCTATTAATTGTGAGTGTCAATCCGAAAATTACGCATAATTAATAGAATTAGTGTTACGTTTTATAACTACTTCCTTGCGTGAAATATATTAGTTAAAGGAAAATCTGATTTATATCTTTGAATAAGATATATTAAGATTTCCACTTTTTTAAGATTAATTTGTATCTTTTACATTTGTTTTTTTAAAAAAAAAACAAGCCTAGCTCACCCTTATTCGCTCGTCTGATCCTTGGTCATTAGTTTTAACCTTATTGAGCATGTAAATGTTCTAACCTCTCGCTATCATTAATCAATGGCCTGAACTCATTCCAATGAACTCATTCGATTTCATCATATATAAAATCATGAAGAAAGCACAATAGTTGAGTTGACCAAGACAAGTTTGGTTAATAAAATCGTGATGGATCATGTACAATCAAGTAATGATTAAAAATGACCATTGTGTTATTAAATATAATGCCTTAATCGGTAACCTGGACATTATCATGCATTTCTGAATAAAAAAGTTAGCTTATTAGTTTACTAAGCAGTATTTTCAATGTATATTTCATAGACTTATTGAATGAAGACTTCTTTGTTAATTATATCGTACGTTCAGATCGATTAAATTTATGTAAAATATTGAATGTTCTCATATCATATCCTCGATTTTATATATGTATCAAATATCTTCCTCATCCTCATTCCAACTAAACCATCATCCTCTATTTGATACTCAACCAAAAATCGTCCAGTTAATTTCTTGCTCACGCGGTAGTAATACCAAGTTATCAACCACAATGGCAATTCAGATAAAAAAAGTACATATTTTTAGTCACTAACTTTGAAATTAAGTTTTATTACATATATATAGTACTCCCCTGTCCCTTTAAATTCTTCCTTTAAATTTGTTTTCTTTGATTTAACAAGTGTTTATTATGCGAGGATTGCAGTGGTCCTTTCAGCTTAAAGATGATCAAGTCATCACGAAAATTATGATAAATCATGGATACATTGTCGATGGAATTGGCTTTGAAATTATGGGTCTATGTGGGAAAACTATAGAGTGGTTTACAGGCCCCGGTGGATCACTTTCTGAGGTATTATAGTTTATAACTTTATAATAACAATTTAGAGTCTAGCTTAATCGGTATTAAGAGTGATAAGGTATAAAACGAATTCCTGACCTTCAATCATCAGCTTAAGCCTTTGATTAAATTGATCCTCTTATATGGTATCAGAGTCAGCATGAGGGGGCAGTATAAAACATTTTTTGAGCTTTAACCATCAGCTTGAGTTTTTGATTGAGTTGATCCTTTAACAAAGAATACAATTTAACGTTTTTCTTAAAAAAAAAAAAAAAAAAAAAAAAAAAGAAGAGCAATTTAACGCTTTTGTTGTAACATTTCTTTCATATCTCTGTTTGATAATTATAGTCATTCATAAAAGGGTCTATTATTTAATTTGATTTTACTATGATATAATAGAATAAATATACATAATGCAGATTCCGTTAAGTGTTGGTGAAAAGTTGACCCATATTAGCGGGACATACGGGATGTACTTAGAGGAGATATGCATCACTGCGATGAGGATACACACCAATTTATGCCCAGAGGGGTATGGACCATATGGTGAGGCCAAGGACGCCGATGACGTAACACCTTTTTTCAACTCCTCTTCCACTGGATGGTTCTATTGTTGGGTTTCTCGGATCCAATGGAGAATATTTAAATTCTATTGGAATTTATAACGGGGTACGTAAAAAAATATACAATTTTCAATTATATGATCATATGTGATGATTTATAACGGGGTATCTAAATGAATTTTCATCGTATAACTAACTGATGATATGAAATTGGGTGGAGTAACCCTCTATGTTGGTATCATCTTTCTCCTTGATCTTTCCCACAATACCACATCAAGAATTTGTATTAGATAAAATTCTAATCTTCGTATGTATTGTAATCTAATACTCCCTCCGTTTCATATTGTTAATACCATACTCCCATTTATGTATAGGGCTATATATTTTAATCGCAAATATTTTTAATATTACACTACTAAAAATTATAAAAATTAGATATAAATAATATTAAAATTATAATGAGAAAAAATATTTCACTATATTGCATTAATTAAATATGAAAGAAGCCTTTATATAGGCAACAAACAAACCAACTCAAGATTATGTATACTCATTGAGATGAATAAGACTAAATCTCATATGATTATGTTTTCTCTTATATATATAGAAATTTAAAAGATTCCTTTTATTTTTTAATAGACTAAGGCCCCGTTTATTTCACCTTATTTCTGTTGAATTGAAATTATTTTCACTGAGCTGAAATTAATTTTACTGAACTGAATTTAATTTTGCTTACTCTCTGTTATATTTCTTCTTTAAAGTTACTGATTTTGACTGAACTGAAACTATTTTTACCGAACTAAAATTATTTTTACAGAACTAAAATTATTTGCTGATCCGAAATTATTTTTACTGAATATTTTTTTTTTAAGGTGAAGTGAACAGGGCCTAAGAAATAGAAACAGAAAGAGTATACGAATAAAACTAAATCTCATATGATTATGTTTGCTCTTACATATAGAGAGAAAAGATTTCCTCTATTTTTTAATAGTCAAAATATTCTAAATGAGACTTATAAATAGAAATGAAAGAAGTATATATTTACATAATTTATCTTATTTTTAATTCCAGCGCAAAATGATCAAAGAATATGGGCCATATGGTAACAAAGAAAGTTCAACAAACTGGTACATTGAGCTTAATGATGGTCAGCGATTTTCCAAAGTATTTATCAAACATGGATTCATTGTCGATGGAGTTGGGTTTGAAGTATCAAGCCTTACCGGAAAAACCTACACCCAAATGTTTAGTGGGCCTGGCGGGGAAACTACAGAGGTAAAAATTTTATTGTTACAAGAAATTGGCAATTATATTACTCGTGTGTACTATATTTTGACCATACAAATATACTATATATCCATAAATAATATTAAAGTAGTAAGGAAAAATTAACAAGTTTAATCCCAAGTATTATGTTGCTTCTCATTTTAATCCCAACTACCGTTTAACCTAGAATAATATAGGTGAGCCTTCTCAAAATAATTTCACTCATATTTTAACCTATTGTTCAAGTAAAAAGAGTGATGTGTAAAGCTACTATTAGTTAGTGCTTTTTTTTAATAATAATACTCATAAATAAAAATTAAACAAACATCCCTTCATTTTTCTTCTCTAATCACTGCCTACATCGGCAGTTTGGCATATTATTAAAATTTGTCACTTGTTTTTCTTGGACGCAAATTTGAAAATTTTTAGAAACAGAAAAATGAGGTATTGTTTCATATTTTTCTTGGAAGCCAACAAACACCCTCTTGACAACAAGTCAACATTTTCATTCCCTGCCATCAAAACCACTTTCTTAGCCACCAAAAACCACCGAAACCACCATTCTAGCTAAGCTCAGCCACCAAATCCACCACTCTAGCCAAACCCAGCCACCAAAACCACCAGCTAGCCAAGCCCTGCCACCGGAAAGTCGGATGACCATCATTTCATTATGCACTGCCACCGAAAAAGCTACCCAACCTTTATTAGCCACCGTAACCACAGGTAAGTCTTGAGACTAAGACTTGTAGCATCAACAATTATACAATTAAAGCTTGTAATCATTCAGAGGCAACGCAACCAATTAAATTATGAGAGTGATAACTTCTTTAATTATTTGTTGAATTATGAAATGTAATTAAAAAAAAAAAAGTATTCAATGGAGGGAAAGGTGTTATGGAGATTGTGTGGATTGGGGAAGATGGAGAAAGGGAAAGATGTTAACCATTAAGGTCCTTCAGTAGATAATAGGGAGATAAAGAAAGGTGAAAGATAAAAAATAAAATTATAAAAAATAATGAAAAATTATAATAATTAATGTTAGAATTATGTCTACTACAAGAGGGGGGGGTGAATTGTAGACTTTAAAAATCTATGAACTTTATGCGGAAATTAAACTAAGTATAAAGAGAGAGAACACACAAGATAACTTTTCGAATTATTTCACTATGCAAAAACTCATTTACAACTATGAATATTCAGCCCGCACTTAAGTTCCTCTAGGAACTCAAGTATCCCAACTACGGTCCCTCAACCGTAACTTATCTCTCTCAGTGATTCGACTCTTAATCACTTATACTTTGTGATAGACTCACTCAAGCCTCACAAGTACAACTCTCACAAACCCCAATCCCAATTACAAAAGTAATTACAAGACTTTTCCTAATGCACTAGAGAAGATTAAGGCAGGAAGGAACTCATCACTCTTTTATATTAAAACGTGAAAGCTCTGAAACTCTATGAACTGAATGTTTTCGTTGTTGCTCCTTTCCAAAATCAGAGTACGTTGCAAGCCTTTTATAGTGAGATGGAAAGTCTCAACCTTGTTCCTCACTCTTCCCATATTCCACGTTCACTTCAACTAGGAAGTTGTTGAACGTTGATTAGAGAGTTGGAAGTAAGGTTTCCCTGACTTTTCTCTCAAGGCTTTCAACGTGATTCCTTAAAATCAGGCAACCAATTTTACTTGGTCAAAAATCAGTTAAAGATATTTATTAAAAAGATAATTATTATTAAAATAAAAAAAGATAAAACTTTTAAATAATTATTTTTAAAAATAATAAACTTATCTTTTAAATTAAAGAATTATTTATCTTTTATTTATTTGCAAAACATATCTTTTCAAAACTGATTTTATTCTATCCTTATTTCAAGGACTTTAAAACTGATTTGAAAACTTACGTTGAAATCATTTTCTGATTAAAACATTAAGTTCCTTTTGCAACACTAAGTTCATTATAATATAAGTTCCTTCCCACACTTAAATTCTCTTGTGCTTACATAGAATCCTAAGTACTGGAGTTTGCTTGTTTTTCTTGAAAGCTTGCATATCAACGTCAAGACTTCCAATCCCTTTGGTCCTACTCCGGAACATATTGTTTGTACCTGAATCTTTTGTTCTACCAAGACTTAACACACATCATTAGTCAAAGTTTATTTTGTTATGTCAATCATCAAAATACTAAGGGAGTCAACTCAACAATTAACCAGTAAGAGAGGTCAGGTAATAGGTAAAAGGGAGTATTTTGAGAAGAATCACATAATAGTTGGGATTATTTTAAGTTAAATTGTAGTTGGGATGATTAAAATGAGAAGGATGTCAATAGTTGGGATTATTTTTGTTAATTTTTCCAAGTAATAATCGCTAACATCATTCTATTTTAAAATTAGACACATGTCATATTGTCATTAAAAATTTTCCCTCCAAAACTATAACTGATGTCATTGTTTTGTGAATTTTATTTTATTTTATTAATATTCTGGTCAATTACGTTACTATTAGTATCAAATTAGGTTAAAATCCCGTGCAATGCACGGTTGTTAAATATTTTTGACAATAATATTACAAAATACTAAATAAAGTATTTAAAAGATATTCAGAAATATTTCATTTGGGTATATATGGAATATGATTGTCAAAGTGGAAAGAAGATATCACGAGGTATAACTAGTTTACTTAAAGATTTTACACAAAAAAAAAAAAAAAAAAAAAAAAAAAAAACGAGAGTGAGAAGCGAAAAAGGCGGTAAAATTTTTCACAAGGTAATGTCAAGTGTCATGGAAGGATTTGCTTTTAGTATAGGTTAATAGATGTTGAAAAAAGGTATATTCTCTTTAACAAAATAATTTAATTTTTGTTCCTTGGGTACCCTTTTCATCAATCAATTTTTCTATGAGCTCTTTTTTTTTTTTTTTTTTTTTTGAATATTTGATGTTTTATTTATTTTGGGAATATTTTTATATTTAATTTTAGTAAGAAAAAATAAATAAATGTAGAAAATTTTATTTGATTAATTCGTGCATCACACGAAATTAATCTAATTAGTATTATATTCCTAACCGGTAAACATACAGATTGAATTGGATGAAAACGAGTTTATAACACAAATAAGCGGGAAGTATGGAAAGTACCTTGAGAAGGATATCAAAATTGGTTCGATAACGATCCATACCAATTTAGGTCGTTCATATGGACCATATGGACGTGATGAGCAGGTCACAGAAGCTAAGCCTTTCGCAACTCCAGTGCCATTAGATGGCACTATTGCTGGTTTTAATGGATCCTATGGAATTTACCTTAACTCAATTGGAATTTCTGACAAGGTAATAACTTACCATCCAACATTATTCAAGCTATAATTATTGTAAAATTAATTAGTATAACTTTCTAATTAAGATCATTTTTAAACAATATTTTTCAGTACAAGAAGGTTGACAAGTACGGGCCATATGGACGTGCTTAATGCTATTGAAGCTTATGGTCGGAATGTGTGTTTCGCAATTGCTTACGTGTGCTCGATGCGGACTACATGAAGAGCGTCGTCATCTTTAATTTTTATTTTTCTTTTTCCTAATGTTTGTGTTTCTTTTTTCATTTTTCATTTTTCTTTTTCCTAATGTTTGTGTGTGTGTTTTTTTTCGAATAAACTCTTTTCTTTCTTTTTGAATTTGAGCTCAGAGTTTGTTGTGTTGTCACTTATATTTCGTTTTTGTTGACTCTGAATATCAATGGACTTTTCTTTTACTCTAAATTGAAGTATTGAACTATTGTCCTCTATTATTTCTTTTTCTTATTGTTATACATAAGAGAGTAAATTTATCATGTGAGGTTGTATGACGATATATCATAGATGTAGGGGTGAAAGTTTGGTTTTCGGTTTGGTTTTTGGCCCAAACCGAAGCCGAACCACCATATTTCGGTTTCTTGATTTCGCAAACCACACCGCACCACTTTCTCTTTGAAACCGAACCGAACCGAACCAAACCACCTAAATTTCGGTTTTCTTAAAAAAAACCAAACCGCACCGAATTTTCCTATCAAGCATCATGAACATCAAATTTTGCAAAAAAACCGAACCGAACCAAACCAATTAAAACCGAACCAAACAAAACCAAACCAATCTAGGGTATTAATTATTACCATCCCACCTTATCACCACCAACACCCACCCACCACCCATCACCCTGACCACCTAAAACCCACCCACCACCCACCCTAACCTACCAAAACCACCGAAACTCACCACCCATCCCCCAAAACCACCCGAAACCCACCCGCCATCCACCCTAAGCCATCAAAAACCACCCGAAACCCACTCATCATGCATCAACCCGAATCCATCAAAAACCACCCCTCCACCCACCAAAAACTGAAGAAACCCACCATCCATCCTGACCACCCGATACCCACCCAAAACTACCTACCACCACCACAATTCAATCATACACCACCATAAAAATAAAAAACTCAAACCAAATTAAAAGAAAGAAAAAGAGGACATACCTCACATTCCACCGAAAAACCTCGAATTTGGGTTTTAAAGGTCAAATTCGACCATGAAAACTTTAGATCTAGTGTTTTCATGGTCGAATTTGACATGAAAACCTTTAGAATGTGAACACTGGTGCCCAGGTGGTCGTCCTTGCCTCCTTGGTCGTACTGTCGAAGAGGAGAAGAGAGTGAAAGTGGAGAAGAGATCGAAGAGGAGAGAGAAAGGACAGAGTAGAGAACTAGAGATTGGAGAAGATAAGAAGAGGAAAGGAGAAAGAGAGAACCGAGAGGGAGAAAGCTCACAAATGGAGAAAAGAGAAGAGGATTAGAGGAGAGAGAAAGGGCGGAAAGAGAAGAGGAGAGAGTGAGAGGCTGAGAAGAGTGATTAGGGTTTTTTTTTTGTCTTATATAGTATGGGCCGAAATTCGGTTCGGTTTCGGTTTTTCATTTCCCGAAACCGAAACCGAACCATACAATTTCGGTTTCTTGATTTTACAAACCGAAACCGAACCACTTAAGAAAAAAACCGAGCCATATTCCTAATTCGGTTCGGTTTTCGGTTCGGTTTGATTTTAAACCAAATTTGTTTCACCCCTACATAGATGCGTGAATAATTCTTATATGACAAAATCTAATACTTCATCTTAGACACCTCTACATGTACTGCAATCGATCTAAGTGGCAAGTCAGATCAATGTATTTGTACACTTGATCACATAGTGTATTATTTTGTCTATGTTTGACTTTTGTTTGATCAATATAATATATTTACTTTCTACTTTACAATTTTTGTTTATTCCACTCTACACAACTAAATTAGTATGGTACTAGAATTGATTAGGAACGGGTGGGTTCGAAATCAATATTGAACATTTGGACCCCTTGTTTTCAATTTCAGGCAATAAAATTAGCAACCGATTACAACCGATTTCGGTTTCAATTCCTATTATTTTTTTTGAAACAAATCCCTGAAATCGGAACTATTTGGGTACCTAGTTACTCGACAAAAAATTTACTTTGCTTCCTCTGTTTATTTTTACTTGCAACACCTTTCATTTTCATGCTTAACAATGCATTATTTTATCCATATATATCTTAATTACAAATATGTAAAATTTATAAGTGAAACTTTAATTATAATATGAAAGTATAAATCAAGAAAAATCTAACAAGATTTCATATTGCTTAACTATGTATTATTAACCCGGTCAAAGTATAGTATTAAGTATTTTAAAATAATACTACGTAGTATGTTAAATGTATCTAATCAATAAAACCAATAATAAAAAAAAAAAAAATCTAGCCTAAAGAAAAAAAAATAAAAAATAAAATTACTTCGTACTATATAAAAATTTCACAAATTCCTATATATGGCCAGCCATAACATTAGTTGATTAAATGAGGTTACTTTTTTTGTAAGTATTTGATAATTGGAGTTATTATTATTATTATGAATAAAGTAAGGCTACCCTTACCAATAAATGAGGTTACTTTTTTTGTAAGTATTTGATAATTGGAGTTATTATTATTATGGATAAAGTAAGGCTACCCTTACCAGTAAATGATTTGTTTCATTTTTTTAAGATCGTAATACTTTAATTTTTACAAGTTTTGTGTGTGTACACATGATATGACTGCATTTAATTAGAATTATTCTTCATAATAAGTGAACATACATCTTTTTGACATCTACTATTAGCCATTGAATTTTTTTATTTTTTTATTTTTTGACGGGAGCCGTTGAATAATTTTACATACTTTGCAAAATATTAGTTATAATTAATAAAATATCAAACTTTTTTTTATTTGCTTCGTTTAATGACCTTAAACATTCAACTAGATCATCGCGCATCTTGCATTGCCTTCTCATTTTTTTTTATTTTTTATTTTTTTATTTATTAATCAATATCAGTAAGATATTACTTAGTCGCATGCTTATATAATTTATTTTGCATATGTCTTGTAACGTGTATGTTAACTAAGAAGCTAAAAATGGAATATGAATACTCAAATCACTCCATATGTATACACATCAAACGACACGATTTCATTCACACCCTTATTTAATTTCTACAAAAGGGATTGATCTAGAGTCAAGCCTTAGAAAGTTAGATTAAGTGCCGAGCTATATATACTCGGAAAAACTTTATTGTAATATTATACAGTAAAAGGGTGGCATAACATTGCTAGTCCACGAGTGATCGTAGGAGCTAGCAATAGAACACACAAATTCATAACATAACAAGCACACAATATATCGTCGTAGTCAATCGATATGTTATAGGCAAGGTCATGCGTAGAGCAACTTCAGGCCTTGTAGTTGATAACTTTCTGAAGGTTTTTGAGAGCATCAATTGCAATTTGAAGGTAGTAGTCAAGAGATGGTGCGACGGTTGCAAGAGGATCGGCCGCAATTTCTGTCCTCTCGTCTTCCACAACCGTGGGAACAGGCTTGCTAGGATCCTTCTCGAATTCCTTTGCTTGCTCGAAACATGTTTCCATGCGCGGAGTGGCATAGCTTCGTATCTTTTCGACGTCGCCTCTAGAGGCAAAACGCTGGCGGTCATGGGAAATCTCAGAAGAGTAGGTAAAACAACGGCCTTTGTTTTCGTAGGTTTCATTAGTTTGCATAAACTTCACCATCTCATCCACCTCATATTTCAGGGTCTCAATAACCATTTTGGACTCTTCATTAAGAGCTTCGACGACAACATGGCCGAGGGAATTTTGGCCTTCTACAACCTTATCTAGAGCTGCATCCATATTTTTTGCTTCGGCCAGGGTTCTTGCCTCTTTCATCAATTCCACAATTTCCACCCGTTTTATCTCAGCTTTAGTTGCGTCTGTTTGTTTCATTTTTGGTGCAATACATCGTTTAACTCGGAACTTAACTGGATTGGTTTGTGTCGAATTTCCCGATTCAGCCCTGCAATATTGATATTCATTTATCATTATATACGTAGAATTTTCATTCATTTCATATTTAGTCTTAGACCAGGACTTGAGTACCACTGCACTTCTTAATACTTTAACCAACTGAGCTAGTTAATCATTTATTTTTCCTTATGGGAATATGTTTATATTAAACTAATTTGGTACAATTTATAAGTAAGGTGTTGCAAATAATATAGCATGGAGAGTATGTAAAGTTAAGCAGTATCTGAAATAACTCTAACTTAGCTCTTTTATTTCGAGCATCTTTAATTTAGCTTTCAACCCTTTTAACCAAAAAAAAAAAAAAAAAGAAACAAAATTTAACACCACAAACCTGTAGGTGCAAGAGAGAAGGGAATCGAGTTCGACTTGAGCCTTGTTTGGATCATTACGTATTTCAGGGAGAGAAAGGAAGACCAAAACCATGCGTATCTCTTTTTGGTAGAGATCACCAAATGAAACAGTTACGACGCCAGTTTCTTTATCGACAATTTGTTCATAGTCTCCTGCAGAAACCTTTTCGATGATGGTTTTAACCTTCTCTCTTCTGCTCACCGTCCCTAGCAGTGGTTTGATAACAAGATTCACGTCTTTTACAAGTACGCTAAGAAGCCCAGCCAAACACGGGGCGAACAACTTACTCAGATCTCCAAGTTTAGCTACAGAGAATGTTCCTCCTTTGCTTTTGCTAGCAATGTGTCCAAGGACCTATATACATCGAGTTTACAAGAATTAGATGAAAGAATCATAAAATCAAAAAATAAAGAAATTATGTAGTCTGTCGCATTTTACTACATGAAGGCTTTGTTCGGAAGTCTAGTTCTTATATCTTAATATAAGGTGCTCAAATATTAAGATATCTTAGATTTGTATATTTGTTTTACGAGCACTTTAAAATTTAAATTAAATCGAACGATTTGAAAATAGAGATGTTATTAAGTATCAGTTATTTCTACCAAGCAACTCATTCAAATCATTTACCACGCAATCAGTTTCAACATCATTTCAGTTTTTGCGACTAATAATTCAATTAAAGTTAACGTACTAATCAACATCGTGTTGTTTTAAGTTTTTGATGCAAAACATTTATATTGTGTTAGTAGGTGTTACCTAAAACAAATTTATAACATACCTTAGTGTCAATTTCTTTCTCATCCCCAAAACCGAAAGTGTAGATGGGATAACGATCAACCAAAATCTTGGTTGCATCATCCACATTTTGCTCACCATCAGACATAAGCATGATAGCGCCGGCTCGGCCAGTAGTATACTTCCGATCATCAAGTACCTTTAAGGCCATTTGAAGGCCAGCACTTATATTAGTATAGTAATCGACTTGTAAATTTTGGACCATGTAATCGACCTTCTCTTTAGCAACGGGACTCATGACCCGCAATCCACACAGTTTGATTGAATCTTTTGCGAATGTGCAGACCGACAAACGATCAGATGGGCTTAGCTTGCTGATCACAAACTGCATCGCGCGCTTCATCTCCTTCAACTTGTCTCCTTTCATGCTGTAGCTCACATCTAACACCATAACTATATCAGCTGCTAGTCTGGCATTAGCGGATCCTCTTCCTGTTAACTCCAACAACAGTTCATACTTCGCATTTTCCTTTGGCAACTCCGGCTCATTCTCGAATTTCACCGGTACTCTTCCCGCTTCTGGTGCTGAAGCTATTGCTTTTTCTCCGAATATAATGTGAATTTAAATATAGCAAGATTACGATAATTTATATTTTGAAATTGGATATATAATAAAATTTTATTGACCAATTAAAGTAGGTAGTCATTTCTAGAATAATAATTGTGTTAGGTATATTGGAAATTATACTAATAAGATATATTTTTCATATAGATTTTATGATAATATAATTTAGTGTTGGTCCGATTGCGGGAGGGTGTTAGGAGAATAAGAAGATATACTATTGTGATGTATTTTTCATATAGACCACATTTATCTCACAAATATTTTACAAATTGATACATTTTCACTATTTTTATGTTTCATATAAAATGGACTATATATACACTTTAGTAATATGTAAAACACAAATGTTATTGGATCATGTAAAACGTGTTCAAATAAAACACATATGTGTGGTGTTTTTTTTTTTTTTTTTATAATTATTTTTTACTTCTTTGCAGGTGGGGCTGGCTACATCTGGTGGGGATGAGGGTGAAGGTGGTGGCTGGGTTGGTGGTTTTTAGTTTCTTTTTATTTATTTTTTTCAAAGTTAACCATAGTTAGTTTTTTTTTTTTTTAAATAAATAACACTCATTAATGTCATATGTGAGATAAATTTCTTAATTAGGGTCATTTTGTATAATAATAAAGGGAGGTGACCATTGGTGCGTAGTAGAAGTTGCGGGTCACCGTTGAGAATTTCCCTTATAATATTCATCTTAATGATTGGCCATGTGTATTTCTTGTGATGTTCTTTCTATGATTTAATAATTTTATAAATTAGAAAACATAATGCACTTTTTATTTGTCAGTAATGTATAATTAATATTGAAACTAATTTTTCATACATGCCCATTACAAAATCATATAATTATCTTTATTAGATATTCTAATTAATAAGCTATTTTTAAAGTAAATGTATGTTCTTTAATTGTAATTTTTAATGTACTTTATTGTTAGAGATAATGTTCATTGCTTATTATGAAATATTCTTTGAATTTTGTCTTTGGATCATGATGTGTATAGATAAATAATGTACATTACATAATATTATCAATTTTTTTTTAATATTACGAATGTTCTTTAAACCTGAAATTCAATCACGGTCCCAAATAATATCGTCATCAACCTTTATGATCCCGGATTAAAAAAAAAAAGAATAAAAAAACATACATAGTTAGTAAACGATAATTAATATTTAAAGAAAAATAAATAGAATTTGTGCGTCAGTCATTACCTCAAAGTTCATACTTTGTATTATTGAAACCCAAATAACATGTTTAACCAACATATGTTACCAAACGTAAGTTATAATGTAAAGAACATATAGTTCATATCCAAAGAACACACTTATCAAACTAAAAGAACATATTTTGTTCGCGTTCTTTGTACATGGATGTAATGTTCTTTTTTAGCTCGTCTTCTTCATACTCAATTAACGTTCTTTGTCAAATACAAGTATGTTCTTTCCGCCTTTTTATATTTAATCGGGCCGAGTGTACTATCCTATTTTCAGTGATTTTCCTTCTTGTTTGTGCACAAGATTTTTTTCCACACTAAAATTCTCTGTGTACTGTACGGAGTAGTATACTAACTTGAGCTTCTTTAGCTTTCAAGTGTTTATTCTAAAAAAGTTAGTTAAGTAGCCATACTACAATTCACCCCCTTTTAGTATTCATCAGAGTAACAAGTTTAGACCATTATTTATGAGCTCAATCAAGTAGCTAACGATGGGATTGGAGGAGCAAATTGGGTACGGTGTTTATTCATTTTTTTCTTAGGATAGAACTTATAATTAAATGGGTTATAACTAAGATAAACATCCACTTTTAAATAAAAACTAGTGTGTGTTCCGGGCGATTTTCCGGACTGCTAGTTTAAACTTGGTTCTTTAATTTTTAAAAATTATATGTTCAAATTCTAATAGTGTCATCATGTTCATATTTTAAATGGTCATTTTTCAGAAACTATAGTTTAAAACTTTATTTATATAATTGTTAACGAAAAATAGATCATATTAATTCATTAACTAATATTTTTTAAAAATGGCTAAAAAATAAGAACGAATTTGAAAACTAAAATTTTGAAAATGAATTTTTAAATCTTGAATTTTGAATTTTGAATCTTGAAAATTGAAAATTGAAAAAGAAATCTTGCATTATTTTTGGTTGAAAATAGTATTAGAGAGTGAAAACTAAAATTATTATGAGAAGTTGAATTTTTGGAGAGAAAGAGAGAAAACTTTTTTTGGAGAAATGAAATTTTGGTTAAGATTTTTTTCAGTTAATGTGTAATATTTAAGGAAATTTTAATAAAGTTTTTTTTACGTTCTTTTTGTAAAGACTTTATGTTTTTCGTAATGGTATGTTCATTATCAAATACAAGTATGTTTTTTGTCAAACACAATGCATGTATGATCTTTATCTAATACAGGTTTGTTCTTTTCGCCTTGTTTTTTTGATTTAATCGGGTGCACATATCAAGCGTTAGAAAACCACCACCCACTACAATAGGGCAACAACCTACTACAAGTTATAGCCTCTAGTTCGAAGTTCCTCTACGAACCAAGAACATCCAACAGTAGTACCTCAGGCTCAACTTACTAGTTTACCACAGTTTACCACTGTTGGCTATACTAAACCGTTGGAGGTTTCAAGGATACCGACGGTTGGCCGTCTGTAAATTATGCTTCCGACAGTTTTTGGCAATCGGTCCAGGCCATGTGCATTAATCTAACAATTTTTTTTTAATTATCAACATTATACAACTTATAATCTAATTCTAGAAACAAAGAAACAACCTATTCGCTCCTCCAATCCCATCACTTTGTCATTAACTTTGAGATTGTGCTCGTAAATTATCTAAACTCTAGGTATCATTTATTGATGGCCTGAATTCATTCCATTGAATTCTCCTTTTCATCATCGATCATGAGAAAGAAACAATAGTTGAGTTGACTAGGACAATATGCAAGTTGGTTAATAAAAAGATTATAAATCATGATATAGAGCATGTACATTCATGATATAATGTCTATGGTCTTGATTAAACTTAATGTCAATAATGGTTGAGATTGTATTCAGGGAGGCATATTCAACATGTTAGCGCTGACATTATCAATCATGCAATATTAAATAATAAATGAAACTTAACACGAAGCCGATGTATTTTCAACTTATTACTACAAACCCGCCGTATTTTCAGCGTATTTTTCAAAGACTAATTGAATGAAGAATTCTTTGTTAAATACGAGTATATGGTATACATTAATTTTTTTTATTTTTTTTTTTTGAGGAAACCGGGAGGAAGGCCTTAGATTGATAGATTGTCCATAAGTACATACGGGGAAACCTCACAAGGGCTATGGTGCTCCCAAATTTGTTCACAACCAAAAGGCACAATACGGGCTAAGTGATGAGCTACACTATTGCCCTCCCTTTTAATATGACTCCAAGAAGTAGAATTAAAGGAATTACAAAAATTAAACACATCTTCAAGTAAGCCATCAAGATCGGTGAGAAAAATGGAGCCTTTGTTTAACCTTCCAACCAAGACTTGGCTATCAGATTCAATCACAATATCTTTGAACTCATAGCGCTTCGCCAGCCTAACAGCCATCAAGACAGCCTTGCATTCAGCTATAATTGGAGGCCAAAAAGCTCTGGACCTTCTGCACGCAGCCAACAGGACCTCACCACTGCTGTTTCGAGCAACCACTCCTAGCCCAACCCAGCCTTCCGTGCACAGAGACGCGTCGCAATTAAGTTTGATAACACCATCAGGAGGCGCTTGCCAAGTCTTTGGGCTGCTCCGTTGCTTTACTCTGGCTACCCCATAAATCCTTTCCGAGGCTGAAATGCATTCATTTGCAAGTCTCTGAACTCTGTCAACAAGAACAGGAAGGAAAGATTCGGACCCCTGGAAGATCTTCTCATTGCGTCTTCTCCAAAGGTTCCACATAAGGATGGCCCCCTTACATTGCTTGCGTGAGCTTTGCTTATTCCATCCCTCAAACAATTCGAGGAAGCTCAAATCACTCGGCCAGGCTGCAAGTTCATGACATTCACATTCCACCCAGAGAGCTTTGGCAGCAGGGCATTCGAAGAGGGCATGTCTGATCGTTTCAGGGCTATCTGGACACTAAGGGCAAGACTCGACCTCCGCCATATGACGATACTTCAAATATGCTCGAACAGGGAGAGTACCTGTGCAGATTCTCCAGAGGAAATGGCGTACTTTAGGTGTGACATCAAGCTTCCAAATGTCAACCCAAGTTCTGTGAAAATCGTCCAAGTTACACGATTTTCCTAACATATATGCCGTTTTAACCGAGTATGTACCATCCATGGAGAATGCCCAGCAGATTGAATCTTGCGGAGAGCTTGAACACAAGGGGATAGCTAAGATGCTGCGAGCATCTATTGCATTAAAATTTTCAGAAATAATATTCTCCTTCCATTCTCTACTCTCGTGATCGATCAAATCTGCAACCATCTCAATCGAGCCTATTTTTGGGGAAGAAATGAATCTACTGGAGCCACTGTCAATCCACGGGTCAGACCAAATATTGATTGTAGAGCCATCACCAACTCGCCAGAGAAGACCCTCCTTAAGCAAAGCTTTTGAGGACCAAATACTTTTCCATGAGTAGCTGCCAGCATATCCCAAGTGAGATTCCAGAAAGCTGCAATTTGTGTAATATTTAGCGCCCACAACCTTGCTTAGAAGAGAGTTAGGAAATTTAGTGAGTCTCCAAGCCTGTCTTCCAAGGAGTGCCTCGTTGAAAATTCGCAAGTCCCTGAAACCCAATCCACCTAGACATTTTGGAGTGCAGAGATCATCCCATTTCTTCCAGTGAACCTTACGTTCTTCATTAGAGCTACCCTATAAAAACTTTGCCATCATGGAATGAATGTCCTGGATAACACTAAAAGGCAATCTATAAACACCCATAAGATACGTGGGAATCGCTTGGATTACAGATTTTAAGAGGATTTCCTTCCCTGCTCGAGAAAGAAGCTTTTCTTTCCACCCATTTAATTTCTTCCAAATCTTGTCCTTGAGAGCCATGAATACCGTCCTTTTAGATCTTCCAATAATGGTGGGAATACCAAGATATTTCCCGTGAGTATCTACTCGTCTCATTGCCAAAATTTCAATCAACTCCTCCTGCAATGACGTACTGACACCTTTTCTAAAAGAGATCTCCGATTTTTCATAGTTAATTTTCTGTCCGGAAGCTGCCTCATTATATGTTGAGAATTTCAACTATTTTTGAGCATTCCCTTCGATTGGCTCTTGCAAAAAGAAGACTGTCATCTGCAAAAAGTAAATGAGAAATTTCCGGTCCTTTTCTACTAGCTCTAGCTCCATGAATCGAGCCATCAACCATAGCTTTCCGCAAAAGACCAGAAAAAGCATCAGCAACAAGAATAAATAGATACGGGGATAGGGGATCCCCCTGTCGAAGACCGCGGGAAGGAGTCACAGAACCACACACCCCACCATTGACAATAAATGAATACGAGACCGAAGTGACAAAGTCCATCACAATTCTGATCCAAGCCTCAGCAAAACCCATTTTTTGCAGAAGTTTCTCAAGAAAATTCCACTCCACTCTGTCATAGGCCTTACTCATATCCAGCTTCAAAGAAATCAGACCCTTTCTACCTTTACATCTCGTTTTCATAGTATGAAAAAGTTCCAAAGCTACTAACGCATTGTCTGTAATAAGTCTACCCGGCACAAAGGCACTCTGATTTTCCGAAATTACACCCGGGAGAATATTTTTCAGGCGCAAGACAATTGCTTTAGAAGCTAATTTATACAGTACGTTGCAAAGAGCAATAGGTCTAAAATCGGTCATAGAGGTAGCGGAGCTAACCTTCGGGATAAGGGCAATATTAGTATTATTAACAGGGCTAATAGAATTATTTCCCTGTAAAATATTACTAATAAATCGAGACACATCAACACCAACAATATGCAAGAATTTTTGATAAAAAATAGCATGCGTACCGTCCGGTCATGGGGCTTTGCAAGGATGCATTTGATTGAGAGCAGCAAAAATTTCATCCTTTGAGAAAGGCCTAAGCAGCTTGTCATTCATCTCCGGAGTAATGATAGGGTTCACAGCATCAAGGACCAGCTCACACGCCTCTTCAGATGGGGTACCTGCAGTGAAGAGATGCTGATAAAATTTTTCTACAATTTTTTCCAAGTGACTTTCGTCCTCTTTCCAGTCCCCATTCTCATCAAAAAGACCCTTAATCTCGTTCTTCTTCTTGCGTTGAGTGGCTTTATGGTGGAAGTATTTAGTGTTTCGATCTCCTTCCTTAATATCCTTAGCTCTGGAGCGTAATTGCCAGTAGGATTCTTGTTTGTCAAGGAGATCTTCCAGCTTGCTTTCTAACTCCAAGCACCTCACAAGAGCTTCCTCCGTAACAACCTCCCCCCTCGCTGCTTTTAATTCCTCCTCTGTGTCACACACCTGCTTGTTTAAGTTCTGAAATTTCTTCCCACTCCACATCTTCAAGCTTTCTGCTACCTCCTTAATACGGTATGTGAGCAATCCCCTTCCCTCTCTCCAAGTACACCGCACCACTTCCTCACATTCCTTCTCCAACAGCCAGCAAGTTTCAAAGTGAAAACCCCTCTTTTTCTTTTTTTTCTTCTTTTTTCTATGTTCTCCTAGCCTGAGAAAAATTGGGGAATGGTCGGATTTGATACGGGTTAAGTTCTCAATAGTTGAACAGCGGTGGGTAGCAAACCACGCAGCATTAGCCACAAATCTGTCCAGTCTTTCTCTGATGTGAGTTTGAACCGTCAGGCCCTTTTCCCATGTAAACCATTGCCCCTCATAGCCAAGGTCACGTAACCCACACTCCTGCAAGGCTTCTCTAAACTCAGGGATTGAACGACGAATATTATCAGCTCCACCTTCCTTCTCTTCATAGCTCAAAATTTCATTAAAATCACCGGCCATCAGAACCGGACCCTCGTACCCCTCGCACAATTGTTTGATCAAAGCCCACGTCCTGTGTTTATTTTCTGCTTCCGGCCAACCGTAAATGCCAACAAACCTCCACCCTTCACCCGAGCTAGGTTTAACATTCCCACAAATGTGATTTTGAGAAAAAGAAATCAAGTCAAAATCCGTACCATCCTTCCAAAACATACACAGACCACCCGACTTACCAATACTACTAACACCAAAAGCATAGGAAAAACCAAAGCGAAATTTATTATTCTCAATAATATTTTTATTAACTTTAGTTTCACACAAAAACAGAAAATCAGGGCATATAGAAGAACACCACTGTTGTAGTATTCTAACTGTTCGGGGGTTGCCAATCCCCCGACAGTTCCAGCACAGTGTACTCATTGTGAAGGGCGTGGTTGCTCTATGTCAACCACCGCCGGATAAACAACTTGATTAATCAACTCAGGGCTAACTCTGGGCCGTTTCCCAACCGAAGACTCATCTACAGTTGTTGGAGAGTTAGGGGCATTAGACTTGCGTTTGCCAGCAATTGGTTCATACTCCACCATCGATGCATCAACGTCTCTGTCAATTCTTCTCCAAGTTTTCGCAGGGGGGCATTGAGCATGTTGCACTGTAGAAATTTCAGTGACCTCAGAGTACGGGTTATGAGCAACTGGATCATGCAGCAAGGCTTCATTCTTTCTTGACTTGTGTTCTGGCAGAGAGAAGGTACGAGGACTGTCAAATCCCACCTTCTTGGCAGCAGCCTCCTGTTCTTTATGGCTCTCAGGAGTAGTAAAGGATAGTTTAAGTGAAACACCAGGTGGGCCTTTGCGGACGACCTTAGGATCAGAGTAACCTGGCAATCTTGGTTTGCTTGATTCTTTAATTTTTGACAACCAAGACTTCTCCCTTTCCCTGTCAAACATTGATCCTCGATCTTGCTTTTTGGGTGATGCCCCTAGCCAAGGACCATACTCGTATACCACTTCTTTTCTTGCCACATCCTTCTCGACAAATTGGCACTCAACATCAGTGTGATTCAACCGACTACAGTAATAGCAGAAATCTGCTAATCTCTCATATTGAATCCCACACCATCTTGGGGAAGAAGAACCATTAGCAATCCTTAGTCCCCTTCTCAACGGTTTGTTAATATCCACCGAAACTTTAATGCGGAGGAAAGCATCCCAGCCTAAAGGGTCAGAATCATGATACTCCAAAAATCCCCCCAGGTGTTCGCCAATTTCATATGCAAAATCCGCATTTCTCTTATTGAAGGGCACATCCCTAATTCGAATCCAGAAGGGGGATGATGAGAAACAAACTGATGAAGGTTGTTCATCGCCCATTATCTCTGTTAACAACATTAATTTCTTATCAAAGAACCAAGGACAACCCTCCATAACCTTAGTTTTGTCCTCTTCACTGAAAAACTGAAAAAACGAACAGATTAGTTTCGACCACACGTATCGCTACATTATCTTTGACCCTCCATACATTCCGAAGCGTCCTTTTCATCGCCTCTACATTATACGGGCGAACTGTCAAGAGTTTTCCAGCTAGAGTCAAGGAGATTTTCGCCTTCATGTTCTCGTCATCAATAGCTTCAAAATTCTCCCCAATAATCTTGCTTTCGTCCTCTGTAAGTTTTAGGTTACCTAAGTCCTCTAAAACCTTCGAGTCCATACTAACACCAATCGAAACCAGAAATTGAGTCAAGAATGAGAAAAATTACCAGAAAACGAACAGGAATCGGGTGACAACGATGCAACAAACGGAAAAACCCTAACCAGGGACGAGAGCACGAAACCCTAAGCAAAGGACTACTAGGTTATCTGGTATACATTAATTATATGTAAGCATAAATAATTATATTACTCCCACTGTTCTCCTAAAATACCAGTGTTCGAACTCATTAATGAACTAGACGTTTTTCAGTTACTTACGTGTGCCCAATTCGGAATACATGAGAAGAGTCATCTGCTATTTTGATATTTACCTTTCAAAATTTATTCGAGTCCTCTATTAATTGTGAGTGTCAATCCGAAAATTACGCATAATTAATAGAATTAGTGTTACGTTTTATAACTACTTCCTTGCGTGAAATATATTAGTTAAAGGAAAATCTGATTTATATCTTTGAATAAGATATATTAAGATTTCCACTTTTTTAAGATTAATTTGTATCTTTTACATTTGTTTTTTTAAAAAAAAACAAGCCTAGCTCACCCTTATTCGCTCGTCTGATCCTTGGTCATTAGTTTTAACCTTATTGAGCATGTAAATGTTCTAACCTCTCGCTATCATTAATCAATGGCCTGAACTCATTCCAATGAACTCATTCGATTTCATCATATATAAAATCATGAAGAAAGCACAATAGTTGAGTTGACCAAGACAAGTTTGGTTAATAAAATCGTGATGGATCATGTACAATCAAGTAATGATTAAAAATGACCATTGTGTTATTAAATATAATGCCTTAATCGGTAACCTGGACATTATCATGCATTTCTGAATAAAAAAGTTAGCTTATTAGTTTACTAAGCAGTATTTTCAATGTATATTTCATAGACTTATTGAATGAAGACTTCTTTGTTAATTATATCGTACGTTCAGATCGATTAAATTTATGTAAAATATTGAATGTTCTCATATCATATCCTCGATTTTATATATGTATCAAATATCTTCCTCATCCTCATTCCAACTAAACCATCATCCTCTATTTGATACTCAACCAAAAATCGTCCAGTTAATTTCTTGCTCACGCGGTAGTAATACCAAGTTATCAACCACAATGGCAATTCAGATAAAAAAAGTACATATTTTTAGTCACTAACTTTGAAATTAAGTTTTATTACATATATATAGTACTCCCCTGTCCCTTTAAATTCTTCCTTTAAATTTGTTTTCTTTGATTTAACAAGTGTTTATTATGCGAGGATTGCAGTGGTCCTTTCAGCTTAAAGATGATCAAGTCATCACGAAAATTATGATAAATCATGGATACATTGTCGATGGAATTGGCTTTGAAATTATGGGTCTATGTGGGAAAACTATAGAGTGGTTTACAGGCCCCGGTGGATCACTTTCTGAGGTATTATAGTTTATAACTTTATAATAACAATTTAGAGTCTAGCTTAATCGGTATTAAGAGTGATAAGGTATAAAACGAATTCCTGACCTTCAATCATCAGCTTAAGCCTTTGATTAAATTGATCCTCTTATATGGTATCAGAGTCAGCATGAGGGGGCAGTATAAAACATTTTTTGAGCTTTAACCATCAGCTTGAGTTTTTGATTGAGTTGATCCTTTAACAAAGAATACAATTTAACGTTTTTCTTAAAAAAAAAAAAAAAAAAAAAAAAGAAGAGCAATTTAACGCTTTTGTTGTAACATTTCTTTCATATCTCTGTTTGATAATTATAGTCATTCATAAAAGGGTCTATTATTTAATTTGATTTTACTATGATATAATAGAATAAATATACATAATGCAGATTCCGTTAAGTGTTGGTGAAAAGTTGACCCATATTAGCGGGACATACGGGATGTACTTAGAGGAGATATGCATCACTGCGATGAGGATACACACCAATTTATGCCCAGAGGGGTATGGACCATATGGTGAGGCCAAGGACGCCGATGACGTAACACCTTTTTCAACTCCTCTTCCACTGGATGGTTCTATTGTTGGGTTTCTCGGATCCAATGGAGAATATTTAAATTCTATTGGAATTTATAACGGGGTACGTAAAAAAATATACAATTTTCAATTATATGATCATATGTGATGATTTATAACGGGGTATCTAAATGAATTTTCATCGTATAACTAACTGATGATATGAAATTGGGTGGAGTAACCCTCTATGTTGGTATCATCTTTCTCCTTGATCTTTCCCACAATACCACATCAAGAATTTGTATTAGATAAAATTCTAATCTTCGTATGTATTGTAATCTAATACTCCCTCCGTTTCATATTGTTAATACCATACTCCCATTTATGTATAGGGCTATATATTTTAATCGCAAATATTTTTAATATTACACTACTAAAAATTATAAAAATTAGATATAAATAATATTAAAATTATAATGAGAAAAAATATTTCACTATATTGCATTAATTAAATATGAAAGAAGCCTTTATATAGGCAACAAACAAACCAACTCAAGATTATGTATACTCATTGAGATGAATAAGACTAAATCTCATATGATTATGTTTTCTCTTATATATATAGAAATTTAAAAGATTCCTTTTATTTTTTAATAGACTAAGGCCCCGTTTATTTCACCTTATTTCTGTTGAATTGAAATTATTTTCACTGAGCTGAAATTAATTTTACTGAACTGAATTTAATTTTGCTTACTCTCTGTTATATTTCTTCTTTAAAGTTACTGATTTTGACTGAACTGAAACTATTTTTACCGAACTAAAATTATTTTTACAGAACTAAAATTATTTGCTGATCCGAAATTATTTTTACTGAATATTTTTTTTTTTAAGGTGAAGTGAACAGGGCCTAAGAAATAGAAACAGAAAGAGTATACGAATAAAACTAAATCTCATATGATTATGTTTGCTCTTACATATAGAGAGAAAAGATTTCCTCTATTTTTTAATAGTCAAAATATTCTAAATGAGACTTATAAATAGAAATGAAAGAAGTATATATTTACATAATTTATCTTATTTTTAATTCCAGCGCAAAATGATCAAAGAATATGGGCCATATGGTAACAAAGAAAGTTCAACAAACTGGTACATTGAGCTTAATGATGGTCAGCGATTTTCCAAAGTATTTATCAAACATGGATTCATTGTCGATGGAGTTGGGTTTGAAGTATCAAGCCTTACCGGAAAAACCTACACCCAAATGTTTAGTGGGCCTGGCGGGGAAACTACAGAGGTAAAAATTTTATTGTTACAAGAAATTGGCAATTATATTACTCGTGTGTACTATATTTTGACCATACAAATATACTATATATCCATAAATAATATTAAAGTAGTAAGGAAAAATTAACAAGTTTAATCCCAAGTATTATGTTGCTTCTCATTTTAATCCCAACTACCGTTTAACCTAGAATAATATAGGTGAGCCTTCTCAAAATAATTTCACTCATATTTTAACCTATTGTTCAAGTAAAAAGAGTGATGTGTAAAGCTACTATTAGTTAGTGCTTTTTTTTAATAATAATACTCATAAATAAAAATTAAACAAACATCCCTTCATTTTTCTTCTCTAATCACTGCCTACATCGGCAGTTTGGCATATTATTAAAATTTGTCACTTGTTTTTCTTGGACGCAAATTTGAAAATTTTTAGAAACAGAAAAATGAGGTATTGTTTCATATTTTTCTTGGAAGCCAACAAACACCCTCTTGACAACAAGTCAACATTTTCATTCCCTGCCATCAAAACCACTTTCTTAGCCACCAAAAACCACCGAAACCACCATTCTAGCTAAGCTCAGCCACCAAATCCACCACTCTAGCCAAACCCAGCCACCAAAACCACCAGCTAGCCAAGCCCTGCCACCGGAAAGTCGGATGACCATCATTTCATTATGCACTGCCACCGAAAAAGCTACCCAACCTTTATTAGCCACCGTAACCACAGGTAAGTCTTGAGACTAAGACTTGTAGCATCAACAATTATACAATTAAAGCTTGTAATCATTCAGAGGCAACGCAACCAATTAAATTATGAGAGTGATAACTTCTTTAATTATTTGTTGAATTATGAAATGTAATTAAAAAAAAAAAAGTATTCAATGGAGGGAAAGGTGTTATGGAGATTGTGTGGATTGGGGAAGATGGAGAAAGGGAAAGATGTTAACCATTAAGGTCCTTCAGTAGATAATAGGGAGATAAAGAAAGGTGAAAGATAAAAAATAAAATTATAAAAAATAATGAAAAATTATAATAATTAATGTTAGAATTATGTCTACTACAAGAGGGGGGGGTGAATTGTAGACTTTAAAAATCTATGAACTTTATGCGGAAATTAAACTAAGTATAAAGAGAGAGAACACACAAGATAACTTTTCGAATTATTTCACTATGCAAAAACTCATTTACAACTATGAATATTCAGCCCGCACTTAAGTTCCTCTAGGAACTCAAGTATCCCAACTACGGTCCCTCAACCGTAACTTATCTCTCTCAGTGATTCGACTCTTAATCACTTATACTTTGTGATAGACTCACTCAAGCCTCACAAGTACAACTCTCACAAACCCCAATCCCAATTACAAAAGTAATTACAAGACTTTTCCTAATGCACTAGAGAAGATTAAGGCAGGAAGGAACTCATCACTCTTTTATATTAAAACGTGAAAGCTCTGAAACTCTATGAACTGAAGGTTTTCGTTGTTGCTCCTTTCCAAAATCAGAGTACGTTGCAAGCCTTTTATAGTGAGATGGAAAGTCTCAACCTTGTTCCTCACTCTTCCCATATTCCACGTTCACTTCAACTAGGAAGTTGTTGAACGTTGATTAGAGAGTTGGAAGTAAGGTTTCCCTGACTTTTCTCTCAAGGCTTTCAACGTGATTCCTTAAAATCAGGCAACCAATTTTACTTGGTCAAAAATCAGTTAAAGATATTTATTAAAAAGATAATTATTATTAAAATAAAAAAAGATAAAACTTTTAAATAATTATTTTTAAAAATAATAAACTTATCTTTTAAATTAAAGAATTATTTATCTTTTATTTATTTGCAAAACATATCTTTTCAAAACTGATTTTATTCTATCCTTATTTCAAGGACTTTAAAACTGATTTGAAAACTTACGTTGAAATCATTTTCTGATTAAAACATTAAGTTCCTTTTGCAACACTAAGTTCATTATAATATAAGTTCCTTCCCACACTTAAATTCTCTTGTGCTTACATAGAATCCTAAGTACTGGAGTTTGCTTGTTTTTCTTGAAAGCTTGCATATCAACGTCAAGACTTCCAATCCCTTTGGTCCTACTCCGGAACATATTGTTTGTACCTGAATCTTTTGTTCTACCAAGACTTAACACACATCATTAGTCAAAGTTTATTTTGTTATGTCAATCATCAAAATACTAAGGGAGTCAACTCAACAATTAACCAGTAAGAGAGGTCAGGTAATAGGTAAAAGGGAGTATTTTGAGAAGAATCACATAATAGTTGGGATTATTTTAAGTTAAATTGTAGTTGGGATGATTAAAATGAGAAGGATGTCAATAGTTGGGATTATTTTTGTTAATTTTTCCAAGTAATAATCGCTAACATCATTCTATTTTAAAATTAGACACATGTCATATTGTCATTAAAAATTTTCCCTCCAAAACTATAACTGATGTCATTGTTTTGTGAATTTTATTTTATTTTATTAATATTCTGGTCAATTACGTTACTATTAGTATCAAATTAGGTTAAAATCCCGTGCAATGCACGGTTGTTAAATATTTTTGACAATAATATTACAAAATACTAAATAAAGTATTTAAAAGATATTCAGAAATATTTCATTTGGGTATATATGGAATATGATTGTCAAAGTGGAAAGAAGATATCACGAGGTATAACTAGTTTACTTAAAGATTTTACACAAAAAAAAAAAAAAAAAAAAAAAAAAAAAAAAAACGAGAGTGAGAAGCGAAAAAGGCGGTAAAATTTTTCACAAGGTAATGTCAAGTGTCATGGAAGGATTTGCTTTTAGTATAGGTTAATAGATGTTGAAAAAAGGTATATTCTCTTTAACAAAATAATTTAATTTTTGTTCCTTGGGTACCCTTTTCATCAATCAATTTTTCTATGAGCTCTTTTTTTTTTTTTTTTTTTTGAATATTTGATGTTTTATTTATTTTGGGAATATTTTTATATTTAATTTTAGTAAGAAAAAATAAATAAATGTAGAAAATTTTATTTGATTAATTCGTGCATCACACGAAATTAATCTAATTAGTATTATATTCCTAACCGGTAAACATACAGATTGAATTGGATGAAAACGAGTTTATAACACAAATAAGCGGGAAGTATGGAAAGTACCTTGAGAAGGATATCAAAATTGGTTCGATAACGATCCATACCAATTTAGGTCGTTCATATGGACCATATGGACGTGATGAGCAGGTCACAGAAGCTAAGCCTTTCGCAACTCCAGTGCCATTAGATGGCACTATTGCTGGTTTTAATGGATCCTATGGAATTTACCTTAACTCAATTGGAATTTCTGACAAGGTAATAACTTACCATCCAACATTATTCAAGCTATAATTATTGTAAAATTAATTAGTATAACTTTCTAATTAAGATCATTTTTAAACAATATTTTTCAGTACAAGAAGGTTGACAAGTACGGGCCATATGGACGTGCTTAATGCTATTGAAGCTTATGGTCGGAATGTGTGTTTCGCAATTGCTTACGTGTGCTCGATGCGGACTACATGAAGAGCGTCGTCATCTTTAATTTTTATTTTTCTTTTTCCTAATGTTTGTGTTTCTTTTTTCATTTTTCATTTTTCTTTTTCCTAATGTTTGTGTGTGTGTTTTTTTTCGAATAAACTCTTTTCTTTCTTTTTGAATTTGAGCTCAGAGTTTGTTGTGTTGTCACTTATATTTCGTTTTTGTTGACTCTGAATATCAATGGACTTTTCTTTTACTCTAAATTGAAGTATTGAACTATTGTCCTCTATTATTTCTTTTTCTTATTGTTATACATAAGAGAGTAAATTTATCATGTGAGGTTGTATGACGATATATCATAGATGTAGGGGTGAAAGTTTGGTTTTCGGTTTGGTTTTTGGCCCAAACCGAAGCCGAACCACCATATTTCGGTTTCTTGATTTCGCAAACCACACCGCACCACTTTCTCTTTGAAACCGAACCGAACCGAACCAAACCACCTAAATTTCGGTTTTCTTAAAAAAAACCAAACCGCACCGAATTTTCCTATCAAGCATCATGAACATCAAATTTTGCAAAAAAACCGAACCGAACCAAACCAATTAAAACCGAACCAAACAAAACCAAACCAATCTAGGGTATTAATTATTACCATCCCACCTTATCACCACCAACACCCACCCACCACCCATCACCCTGACCACCTAAAACCCACCCACCACCCACCCTAACCTACCAAAACCACCGAAACTCACCACCCATCCCCCAAAACCACCCGAAACCCACCCGCCATCCACCCTAAGCCATCAAAAACCACCCGAAACCCACTCATCATGCATCAACCCGAATCCATCAAAAACCACCCCTCCACCCACCAAAAACTGAAGAAACCCACCATCCATCCTGACCACCCGATACCCACCCAAAACTACCTACCACCACCACAATTCAATCATACACCACCATAAAAATAAAAAACTCAAACCAAATTAAAAGAAAGAAAAAGAGGACATACCTCACATTCCACCGAAAAACCTCGAATTTGGGTTTTAAAGGTCAAATTCGACCATGAAAACTTTAGATCTAGTGTTTTCATGGTCGAATTTGACATGAAAACCTTTAGAATGTGAACACTGGTGCCCAGGTGGTCGTCCTTGCCTCCTTGGTCGTACTGTCGAAGAGGAGAAGAGAGTGAAAGTGGAGAAGAGATCGAAGAGGAGAGAGAAAGGACAGAGTAGAGAACTAGAGATTGGAGAAGATAAGAAGAGGAAAGGAGAAAGAGAGAACCGAGAGGGAGAAAGCTCACAAATGGAGAAAAGAGAAGAGGATTAGAGGAGAGAGAAAGGGCGGAAAGAGAAGAGGAGAGAGTGAGAGGCTGAGAAGAGTGATTAGGGTTTTTTTTTTGTCTTATATAGTATGGGCCGAAATTCGGTTCGGTTTCGGTTTTTCATTTCCCGAAACCGAAACCGAACCATACAATTTCGGTTTCTTGATTTTACAAACCGAAACCGAACCACTTAAGAAAAAAACCGAGCCATATTCCTAATTCGGTTCGGTTTTCGGTTCGGTTTGATTTTAAACCAAATTTGTTTCACCCCTACATAGATGCGTGAATAATTCTTATATGACAAAATCTAATACTTCATCTTAGACACCTCTACATGTACTGCAATCGATCTAAGTGGCAAGTCAGATCAATGTATTTGTACACTTGATCACATAGTGTATTATTTTGTCTATGTTTGACTTTTGTTTGATCAATATAATATATTTACTTTCTACTTTACAATTTTTGTTTATTCCACTCTACACAACTAAATTAGTATGGTACTAGAATTGATTAGGAACGGGTGGGTTCGAAATCAATATTGAACATTTGGACCCCTTGTTTTCAATTTCAGGCAATAAAATTAGCAACCGATTACAACCGATTTCGGTTTCAATTCCTATTATTTTTTTTGAAACAAATCCCTGAAATCGGAACTATTTGGGTACCTAGTTACTCGACAAAAAATTTACTTTGCTTCCTCTGTTTATTTTTACTTGCAACACCTTTCATTTTCATGCTTAACAATGCATTATTTTATCCATATATATCTTAATTACAAATATGTAAAATTTATAAGTGAAACTTTAATTATAATATGAAAGTATAAATCAAGAAAAATCTAACAAGATTTCATATTGCTTAACTATGTATTATTAACCCGGTCAAAGTATAGTATTAAGTATTTTAAAATAATACTACGTAGTATGTTAAATGTATCTAATCAATAAAACCAATAATAAAAAAAAAAAAAATCTAGCCTAAAGAAAAAAAAATAAAAAATAAAATTACTTCGTACTATATAAAAATTTCACAAATTCCTATATATGGCCAGCCATAACATTAGTTGATTAAATGAGGTTACTTTTTTTGTAAGTATTTGATAATTGGAGTTATTATTATTATTATGAATAAAGTAAGGCTACCCTTACCAATAAATGAGGTTACTTTTTTTGTAAGTATTTGATAATTGGAGTTATTATTATTATGGATAAAGTAAGGCTACCCTTACCAGTAAATGATTTGTTTCATTTTTTTAAGATCGTAATACTTTAATTTTTACAAGTTTTGTGTGTGTACACATGATATGACTGCATTTAATTAGAATTATTCTTCATAATAAGTGAACATACATCTTTTTGACATCTACTATTAGCCATTGAATTTTTTTATTTTTTTATTTTTTGACGGGAGCCGTTGAATAATTTTACATACTTTGCAAAATATTAGTTATAATTAATAAAATATCAAACTTTTTTTTATTTGCTTCGTTTAATGACCTTAAACATTCAACTAGATCATCGCGCATCTTGCATTGCCTTCTCATTTTTTTTTATTTTTTATTTTTTTATTTATTAATCAATATCAGTAAGATATTACTTAGTCGCATGCTTATATAATTTATTTTGCATATGTCTTGTAACGTGTATGTTAACTAAGAAGCTAAAAATGGAATATGAATACTCAAATCACTCCATATGTATACACATCAAACGACACGATTTCATTCACACCCTTATTTAATTTCTACAAAAGGGATTGATCTAGAGTCAAGCCTTAGAAAGTTAGATTAAGTGCCGAGCTATATATACTCGGAAAAACTTTATTGTAATATTATACAGTAAAAGGGTGGCATAACATTGCTAGTCCACGAGTGATCGTAGGAGCTAGCAATAGAACACACAAATTCATAACATAACAAGCACACAATATATCGTCGTAGTCAATCGATATGTTATAGGCAAGGTCATGCGTAGAGCAACTTCAGGCCTTGTAGTTGATAACTTTCTGAAGGTTTTTGAGAGCATCAATTGCAATTTGAAGGTAGTAGTCAAGAGATGGTGCGACGGTTGCAAGAGGATCGGCCGCAATTTCTGTCCTCTCGTCTTCCACAACCGTGGGAACAGGCTTGCTAGGATCCTTCTCGAATTCCTTTGCTTGCTCGAAACATGTTTCCATGCGCGGAGTGGCATAGCTTCGTATCTTTTCGACGTCGCCTCTAGAGGCAAAACGCTGGCGGTCATGGGAAATCTCAGAAGAGTAGGTAAAACAACGGCCTTTGTTTTCGTAGGTTTCATTAGTTTGCATAAACTTCACCATCTCATCCACCTCATATTTCAGGGTCTCAATAACCATTTTGGACTCTTCATTAAGAGCTTCGACGACAACATGGCCGAGGGAATTTTGGCCTTCTACAACCTTATCTAGAGCTGCATCCATATTTTTTGCTTCGGCCAGGGTTCTTGCCTCTTTCATCAATTCCACAATTTCCACCCGTTTTATCTCAGCTTTAGTTGCGTCTGTTTGTTTCATTTTTGGTGCAATACATCGTTTAACTCGGAACTTAACTGGATTGGTTTGTGTCGAATTTCCCGATTCAGCCCTGCAATATTGATATTCATTTATCATTATATACGTAGAATTTTCATTCATTTCATATTTAGTCTTAGACCAGGACTTGAGTACCACTGCACTTCTTAATACTTTAACCAACTGAGCTAGTTAATCATTTATTTTTCCTTATGGGAATATGTTTATATTAAACTAATTTGGTACAATTTATAAGTAAGGTGTTGCAAATAATATAGCATGGAGAGTATGTAAAGTTAAGCAGTATCTGAAATAACTCTAACTTAGCTCTTTTATTTCGAGCATCTTTAATTTAGCTTTCAACCCTTTTAACCAAAAAAAAAAAAAAAAAGAAACAAAATTTAACACCACAAACCTGTAGGTGCAAGAGAGAAGGGAATCGAGTTCGACTTGAGCCTTGTTTGGATCATTACGTATTTCAGGGAGAGAAAGGAAGACCAAAACCATGCGTATCTCTTTTTGGTAGAGATCACCAAATGAAACAGTTACGACGCCAGTTTCTTTATCGACAATTTGTTCATAGTCTCCTGCAGAAACCTTTTCGATGATGGTTTTAACCTTCTCTCTTCTGCTCACCGTCCCTAGCAGTGGTTTGATAACAAGATTCACGTCTTTTACAAGTACGCTAAGAAGCCCAGCCAAACACGGGGCGAACAACTTACTCAGATCTCCAAGTTTAGCTACAGAGAATGTTCCTCCTTTGCTTTTGCTAGCAATGTGTCCAAGGACCTATATACATCGAGTTTACAAGAATTAGATGAAAGAATCATAAAATCAAAAAATAAAGAAATTATGTAGTCTGTCGCATTTTACTACATGAAGGCTTTGTTCGGAAGTCTAGTTCTTATATCTTAATATAAGGTGCTCAAATATTAAGATATCTTAGATTTGTATATTTGTTTTACGAGCACTTTAAAATTTAAATTAAATCGAACGATTTGAAAATAGAGATGTTATTAAGTATCAGTTATTTCTACCAAGCAACTCATTCAAATCATTTACCACGCAATCAGTTTCAACATCATTTCAGTTTTTGCGACTAATAATTCAATTAAAGTTAACGTACTAATCAACATCGTGTTGTTTTAAGTTTTTGATGCAAAACATTTATATTGTGTTAGTAGGTGTTACCTAAAACAAATTTATAACATACCTTAGTGTCAATTTCTTTCTCATCCCCAAAACCGAAAGTGTAGATGGGATAACGATCAACCAAAATCTTGGTTGCATCATCCACATTTTGCTCACCATCAGACATAAGCATGATAGCGCCGGCTCGGCCAGTAGTATACTTCCGATCATCAAGTACCTTTAAGGCCATTTGAAGGCCAGCACTTATATTAGTATAGTAATCGACTTGTAAATTTTGGACCATGTAATCGACCTTCTCTTTAGCAACGGGACTCATGACCCGCAATCCACACAGTTTGATTGAATCTTTTGCGAATGTGCAGACCGACAAACGATCAGATGGGCTTAGCTTGCTGATCACAAACTGCATCGCGCGCTTCATCTCCTTCAACTTGTCTCCTTTCATGCTGTAGCTCACATCTAACACCATAACTATATCAGCTGCTAGTCTGGCATTAGCGGATCCTCTTCCTGTTAACTCCAACAACAGTTCATACTTCGCATTTTCCTTTGGCAACTCCGGCTCATTCTCGAATTTCACCGGTACTCTTCCCGCTTCTGGTGCTGAAGCTATTGCTTTTTCTCCGAATATAATGTGAATTTAAATATAGCAAGATTACGATAATTTATATTTTGAAATTGGATATATAATAAAATTTTATTGACCAATTAAAGTAGGTAGTCATTTCTAGAATAATAATTGTGTTAGGTATATTGGAAATTATACTAATAAGATATATTTTTCATATAGATTTTATGATAATATAATTTAGTGTTGGTCCGATTGCGGGAGGGTGTTAGGAGAATAAGAAGATATACTATTGTGATGTATTTTTCATATAGACCACATTTATCTCACAAATATTTTACAAATTGATACATTTTCACTATTTTTATGTTTCATATAAAATGGACTATATATACACTTTAGTAATATGTAAAACACAAATGTTATTGGATCATGTAAAACGTGTTCAAATAAAACACATATGTGTGGTGTTTTTTTTTTTTTTTTTTTTATAATTATTTTTTACTTCTTTGTGGTTGGAGTATCACCAAGACATATTATGGAATTTGATGGGTCTCATATAGTAGGTTAAGGAGGGAAAAAGAGGAAAATAAAATACTTAAAAGAATTAAAGTGAAAGTTATAATAGAACAAATTAAAAAGGAGTGAGTTGAACAAAATAAAGTAAAAAAAAAGGGAAAAAAAAGAAAAAGAAATAAATTCATGCATGCAAATGTAATAAACAAACATCTTTTTAACTTAACTGTTGACCCTTTTGATTCTGATGGACAAACTGACAAACTTGACTAACGAGAGTTTTTGAGTCTTTGGTGAATAAAGGGTTCAAGCACAGTTCGTTCCGGAGTACCCTACTTGATACAAAGGATGCGGAGTAGCATCAAAAGGCCTCATGCAAAATCTTACGATCTAGTGTTAAAATGTAAACACTCAAAATATAAGTTAGTAAGGAACTCGATGACTTACGTTATAAATAATACTACTGGAATAATATTGTTTTAAAGATTTATAGACTTATATTTTGAAAAGATATTTTAAATTTAATATTATTTAAATAAGTATTTCGAATAATGATAATTAACCTTAGTTGATTATCTTAAGTTTTTAAATTAAATAAATATTTTTAATATCTTTTTAGGATAAAATATTTTTAAAGAAAATCTTTTTATCAGAAAAATTTGAAGGAGTCAAATAACTGTTTTTATAATTGCTTGATTATCTCAAGGCAACAGTTTTGTGAAGCATTATTTTAGCAAAACGGTTATTTACGTGGATTAAGGAGAAGTTTGAGAAACTTCCACTACCTTGATCATTATCACGATTCTCCACTACTTGTTAGTGGGTGTTGACTGTGTTAGTGGTTAATGTGGGAGTTGAGGATCAAATTTCTCTATATAAACCACGAAGCTATTCATTGCAAAATACACCTCTTGAGCTTCTATATTCTAGTATACTAAATAACGTAAAGAGAGTTCTTATCTTTTCTTATATTCTTGAGTGTACTAGGTATTTGTAATTACAATTTGTAATCAAGTACTTGGGGTTTGGGATTCTGAGTTTTGTAACGGTGAGGTTAAAGAAACTTCATAGTCGAAGTCTTCTGTGAGAGTTGGGAACAAGTTCCAATCTTGTGGAACTTGTTATGGGTTTTATTCTTCACTTGTAAAAGAGTTTATTTACATAGTGGAAAATTACAAAAGCCTACATCATCTCTCTTTACTGTTTCACTTAGTTAAATTCCGCAAAAAGTTGTAAACCTCACCTATTCTACAATTCACCCCCCTCTTGTAGAAGATTGTAAGACTTTCAGTTGGTATCAGAGCGAGAACTCAGAAAACGCAGGCAACCCTGTTGAGCAAGTTCCTGGGAGAATGGCTTACACAGAGGAAAAGGAACTCGGGAGTTCATCCATTCAAAGGCCTCCATACTTCAACGGCAAATACTACTCTTATTAGAAGGATAAGATGGAAATCTTTGTCCAATTAGAGAACTATCATGTATGGCGAATTATACAAGTAGGAGATTACGAAATTACGAAAACTAATGCTAATAATGAGGTAATCCCTAAACCTATGGATGAATATGAGAAAACTGATTTCGAAAAACTGGAATTGAATGCTACTGCTAAAAAGTTTTAAATTTGGGGACTTGGACCCGATGAACATACTCATGTCAAAGGGTGTAAGTCCGCAAAGAATATTTGGGATCTTCTGGAAGTTACACATGAAGGAACGTCAGATGTTAAACGTTCCAAAATAGATATCCTTTTATCTCAGTATGAGCGCTTTGAAATGGGAAACAAAGAATCTATTAAAGACATGTTTACTCGATTTAAGAATATTACTAACAAACTAACGTGTCTTGGTAAGATAATTCCTATAGATGAGCAGGTCAGAAAGGTCTTAAGAAGTCTTCTAGAGAATGAGAGATGTGAGAGGAAAGGTTGCAGCTGTGCAGGAATCAAAAGACTTCACTAAGTTCAATCTTGAACAGCTTGCGGGTTCCCTCATTACCCAGAGATCTAGTTAAACAACCGGACTCAGGAGACTGTCAAAAGTCAAGGGCTAGCACTGAATGCCAATGAAGAATCCGAAGAGAAGTCTGACGTTGATGAAGAAGAAGCTGCAATGTTGGTGAGACGGCTGAAAAAGTTCTACCGTAATAACAAGTTTTCAGACAAGAAGAAAGGATACAATAAAAGAAATCAAGATTCCAAAGTCAAGTCCTCTTGTCACAAGTGTGGAAGCACCAACCACTTCATCAAGGAGAGTCCCTTATGGAAATCTGAGAAAGGCAAAGCAAAAGAAGTTGATCAAAGCAGAAACTCTAAGCCTAACTTTTCTAAATCTAATTTCAGGAAAGCTATGATTTCCACGTGGGGAGACTCGAGTTCCGAAGAAGAGGAACCAAAACACACTGATGATGAAGTAGCCAATCTCTGTCTAATGGAAAAACATAATGATGAGGTAAACATTCAACCTAGTTATTTGAAATCTCTCTCAAAAGAAAAATTGATCTCTCTGTTATTAGAGACCTTAGATGAATATAAAGAATTATGTGAAAAACTAAGGCAAGCCGAAAAGGCCACTAGAATTTGTAGAGATCATGCCAAGTACTTGAATAACTCAAGAAATGATGTGCAAGGTAGATTCTTTGAATTATTGGATAAAGATATCATGTTAAAGGAATCCCTTGAAAGAGTCAAGAATGATAACATAATGTTGAATGTTGAATTGACTCAATATAAAATGTTGTGTACTAACATTGATTCTTGCGGGTCTACCGAAGTTCCTTTAATCATGTTCAATACTGAGTTAGAACATGTTAAGAAAGAATTAAAGGATACTAATGATAAAAATGAGAAATTAGAAAAGGACTTAGATATTGCAAGAAGAAGTAGAAGTACTGTAAGCATGGGTGATACTAAGTGGGTACAGGAAGCTCAAACAAAAAGAACAGAAGGTCTAGGCTATGTCCACAAGAAGAAGTCAAATGGAAAGAAAAAGAAGTACGTGGATTTTCCCAGTAAGACTGTTTGTTCATTTTGTGGTAAATAGGAACATCGTAGTGAAGAGTGTACTAAGAAAGTTTATCAGTACAATAAAAATGTGAATTATGTTTGGCAGAAGAAATCTGATTTAACTATGTCAACACAGGAACCCATGAAAGAAGGGGTTCCTGCTACTAACCCTTGATTGCTTTTGCAGGTTGTGGTGAGGGGGAACAACCAGTGGTACCTCGATAGCGGTTGTTCTAAGCACATGACAGGAGATAAATCCAGATTTCTCTCACTGACGGCCTATACAGGAAGAATTGTGACCTTTGGAGGCAATAAGAAAGGCAACATTGTTGCTGTTGGCAAAGTTGGAAGGTCAAGTTCCCATGCAATTGACAATGTATTTTTAGTCGAGGGTTTGAAGCATAGTTTACTCAGTATTTCTCAATTTTGTGATAAAGGAAACTCTGTAAGTTTTTCTTCTGAAAAATGCAGAATCATCAACAATAACACTGGAAAAATCGTTTTGGAAAGAACTCGTAAAGGGAACACGTATACCGTGGACCTTAACAAAGTTCTAAAATATAATCTATCTTGTTTGAGTGTTATTGAGGATGATCCACTTCTATGGCATAAACGTTTTGGACATGCTAGTCTTTCACTTCTTGACAAATTAAGGTCAAAGGGCTTGGTAATTGGACTACCTTCTATCAAGTTCCTAAATAACAGAATTTGTGAAGCTTGTATTAAAGGAAAGCATGTTCGGTCATCGTTTAAATCAAAGAAAATGGTAAGCACCACAAAACCATTGGAACTCATTCATATGGATTTGTGCGGCCCCGTAAGAATTCAAAGTAGAAGTAGAAAAAGATATGTCTTAGTTCTTGTGGATGATTACTCTAGATTTACGTGGGTCATATTCTTACACAGTAAAGATGAAACTTTTGATATGTTTATGACCTTCTTGAAAAAGACACAGAAATCAATAGGTAATCAACTTATTCATATGAGAACTGACCATGGCACGGAATTCGAAAATTCCAAGTTTGATGAATTTTGCAGGGAACAGGGAATAAGTCACAATTATTTCTCAGCACCAAGAACACCACAACAAAATGGCGTGGTTGAGAGAAAGAACCGAACATTGGAAGACATGGAAAGAATGATGCTAATAGCAAGTGGGCTTCCAAGGAACTTTTGGGCAGAAGTCGTCAACACAACATGCTATATCATCAACCGGGCCATGCATATACCAATGTTGGACAAGACACCTTATGAACTGTTAAAAGGAAGAAAACCTAATATTGCTCATTTAAGAGCCTTTGGATGCAAATGCTTTGTTCACAATAATGATAAAAGTAATCTTGGAAAATTTGATGAAAGGAGTGATGAAGCAGACTTTTTAGGATATGCATCTAATAGTAAAGCTTATAGAGTATACAATAAGAGAACTATGCGTGTAGAAGAAAGTATACATGTTATTTTTGATGAAACAACAACTATGATTGTATACAGGAATATGAAGATGGAGATTTTGAAATTGGTCTCACTCGT